GCGAGTTTGTCGGCGGGGTCGAGCGTCGACGTTAGTCACCGCGTTATTTATTTAAACGAATTAATGTCTCGGAATGGAAGGCCGCGGCGTGGCGTATCGACAAAGTTCTATAAGTATAGCATTCGAGGGAATTAATTTATCGTCCCCTTTTAATTTATTATTATTATTCCAGAATGGAAAAAACGGAACGGGCGATAATTTATTCTTAAAATTGATTTTTTACCCGTTTATTATTTCCGTTTATTTATTTATCGCTAAACTTCCCGCCTTATCGTTGGGCTATAATAAGACTAATTCGATAATTAGATAGAAAGTAACTGGATGAGAGGTAGGCGGTCAGTCCGCCATCTCGCGATAATTTTAACGATTATAAGTATATTAATTTTTAATTTAGAATATTGCGGAAAGAATCGTTGTTCCGGTCCGAAAGCGATTAAAAAATACATACGAAGAACGTATTTATTTATTAAAATAATTTTATTCGAATTTGCAGAAAATTTTACTCTTTGTTTTCATTTTTCGATTAAGTAAATAAATCTTAAGAAAATATACTTATTTAACTTAGAAACGAAAAGAAAAATAATATATAAAGGAATAAGTGGCGAATGTCGCGTTAGGCTTTTGCCAAATATTTGCCCATTTTCTTTTTTTTTTTATAAAATTCCCCGCCAGCCCGGAATCGAGGAAGCGTGGCGAAGGGTAATTTAGTGAAATCGTTCTTACAGTTTTCCCCTTTAAAACAGATAAAACGTACACCGATTCGTACAATTTGTTTGCTAATAATAGAATTTGGAATTGTCGATTTTTACGGCAGCCAGAACTGGTCGGCACAAGTTTACCTTGAATTCAAACATAAAAAATACGCGGCACAAGACATTGATTTGTAATAATTGTTTTTTGAACGTTGGCATTTACTCAAAATGATTACGCTTAATTTAATACCGAGAAAAAGTGTCTTAACTTTGTAATTTTCTAACCCCGTAATTGACCGACAAAAACTTTATTAAAAACGATTCGATTTCTCATTCGACCGTTAAAGTTCGATGGAAAGTTTGAGTTTGTACATCTTTTACATTGGTTAATAACGGCTCGGTCGATTATTCTTCGTTAAAAATATCCGAAAATTCGGAGTCCACATTCCATTTTGACTCCGTAATGAAAAATGGCCGCTTTAGTTTTCAATTTATTTTAAATTCTTAAATTCGGAAAATGCTTTATTTCTTTTTATTGAATTAAATTTTTTATTCGTTAACATCTTAGGAAACTGGTGGCTGGATTTTTTTTAACTTTCCTGACAAAAAAAAATGTTAAAATTGCGTGTGGCGCCATCTGTTACCAGATTTTATTTTAAAACTTTTTATATTATGTACTATTATAAAACGGCAAAAAACTATATTTTCGGGGGGAAAATGAGTTTTAATTTTTTTTTTAATTGTAAATGCTAATAACGAGTAAAATGTTCGTTAAATTCGACCGAGATAAGATAAGTCACTCCTATTTCTCTACCCCCGCACCTTTAACCACCGAAATTTAACAGCATCGATGTCGAATTAGGTAAAGGAAATCGTTCCCCACAGAAAAATTCCCCGAATTTTTTGCATTTCTCGACAATTGGGGGTTCGCGAGTCCCCAATTCTTTCGTTATCCTTTCGTATTCTTCTAGTTGTCCGTTTCTTTTAAGAACATTCAAATATTAATTTCGCCAATAAAAAGACCGTTTTATCCGCCGATTAGATTCTTACAGCGGATTAAGTAGCGATAATAATTATTTTAGAATCATCTCTTAGAATTTTAAAAATTACCGAGGACGTTTATAACGATAAATCTAATTAATTATTCGAGAAGATTCGAATTAAAAAAAAGGTGCCGCGTCATGGCCGACGACGATGACGTAAGTAAATTTTAAAAAATTGTTTATTTTTTTGGAATTAAAATCCAATATTAGTAACGCGGCGGTGGTGTCGTAATCGACGGATGACGACGTCTTTAGGCCTCGGTAATAAATTTGGTGAATAATAAATACTAGAAATACTTATTTTTGTTATTAGAAAGATCCGACCGGCGATTAGTATTCGTCCTCCCGGACTTCTCTCTACCTCTTGGTTTCGCCAATATTTTCGAAAGTTTTTTCTTCTCTCGTCTTTTTATCCATTTTTATTTTAGGCGTAGGATTCGAATTACAAATTTAACTCCGTAAGAACTTCCGGTCCGGACCGGAAAAACGGGCCATTTCCGTGGAAAGTTTTTCTGGCGAAAATCGAGGCCGGGTAGGGGAAGGTCGTTTTTAAAGCTAAAAATGATTAAAAATCGACACCCGTTCGTTTTCATTTAGGCTATATTTTTATTCGGAAATTGTCTAGAACTTAGCGGAAATAACGGTGGCCGGCGTACAAGTATTACGCGTATACGCAATCGCTTCTAATTTAATTAATTACTGTACTTTCAATATTGGAGTTCTAAAGACGGGACGCGTTTCCTCGTCTCGTAAGGTCTTAAATGCTAGCGATTATTTTATTAGACTTTTACGACCGTCTACGTTTTCGTCCGTGGGAATTTTCTATAAATATGGCGTAAAGCTGCCGGAATCTCCGAGATTTTCGAAACGTCATCCGTAATGCGCGTATTTTAATAAACGACGGAAGGCGTTTCGTAAATGAAATTGACACAGTTCGGAAAAACGGCGAGTAAAGGCTAGGTTCGAAGGTTTTCGTATCGCGCAATCAATTTCCCCATTGAATTATCCACCGTCGATTTTTATCCTTATTCGCTTAATCGCCATTTCTGGCTAAATCATCGACGTCGGGTCGTTTCTTAGCTCCATTAGCGGTCCGGGGAGGAAAAACGCGCCGTCTCCTCCTTTGTTTATGCGTAGCCACGCGTTTTGCCCACTTAATCGGACTTAATTCTTCGTAAAATATATAAATTTAGTCGCCTAATTGTCGCAAATTTCGAAAAGTTTTCCGCCTTATCTTAAAAACCTCGGTCGGAAAGAAATTAAACGTTCCGAGAAGCGCGCTCGTCATTCGATAAAATCGATTGGAAATATTTAGGACGAAATTTTTGACCGCGGTTACTTTTAATAATAATTATTATTTAATAAATGCGCCAGTCGGTCGGCCATCGTGGGTTTAATGGCTAATTAATCTTTTATTTCGGCCGGTCGCCGGTTTGTCCGACACTTAACGGTATATAACGCGTAAAGCCGATTTATATTCGCTTATCTTTTATTTACTACCCGTTAATTTTTACCCGACTACCGGTTTGCCCGGCTTTATTATAAATTAAACATTTAGAATCCGACGGTGGCTTTTCGGGAATACCGAAAAAAAAAAATANAATGTAATGAATGCACAAGTGCCATTAACCAATTTTTATTTTTTGACACTATATGTAAAGACGAAGTTTCTAAGTAGTTCTTTAAACTTTGCAAACCGTATCAAATGAGTTAATTTTAAATTTTAAATCAAAATATAAATAAATAAAATATATCGAAACCTTAAAATTATCTTTGTTTCATCGTTAAACGGAAGACAAAGACAATTTTGTAGCTTTGATTTATTTTATTTATGTACATTCTGATGCAAATATTGTCAGCCAAAATTTAATTTTAATTTTTATATTTTTATTACAATTTTAGATTTAATAAGCATTATTACACATAAGACTTATTATTCTGTTGTATTATATGATTGTATTTTAAAATCACTCAAAATCAGACCTAATAAATTGTAATTGCTTTGTATATTTTTTAAATTTTGTTTAATGTTTGTACAATTATTACAGACATTTACTTCTTTTACCGATAGTACAGATTAATGTTAAAAACTAGTATTGATTGTTTATGTGAAGAGTTATAAAATGCAACAGGGATGAGAGCATAGCAAAAAGGCCAGGGGATTAAACTGTCTCAAATATAATATAAGGCAATATCAATTATCATTTGTAAATTTTAACACAGCTGTATTAATTATGCAGTATTATGAATTTTAGAGAAAAATCTCTAATACTCTTAATAACCTAACATTGATTAAAATGTTTTAAAAATATTTTAACTCTGTGAATCTCTCACAATTACCATTTACACACTCAGTTTGAGGGCAGATGTTAATGAACTGATTAAAAGAAATATGATAACAAAGTACAAAAAATGATAAATAATTTTAATTTAAATGGTGTTATTTATCATTTTTAATTTAAATAATTTCATTAAAACATTATAATTTTTTGAAATNTAATTTTTACCCGACTACCGGTTTGCCCGGCTGTATTATAAATTAAACATTTAGAACCCGACGGTGGCTTTTCGGGAATACCGAAAAAAAAAAAAGAACGAAATCCGTATTTATATTAACTTTTAATTTAAATAAAATATAAATCCCTAGCCAGCCGCGGAAGTACGCATTTATTCGTAATTTTACAAAGGTCGGAGGTTTCCACCTTCTCCGACGTCAAATATAACGTCCTTTTAAACCATTCCGGCAAAAAGTCGCCTAACTTTCCCGATAAAAAAGTTAAAATTGCCCGTGGCGCCATCCGTTATCAGATTTTATTTCGAAACTTTTCGTATTATTACTAAGTTTCATTTTGAGGATAGAGACGACTTTTACTTTAAAAAAAATGCAATTACCGGTAACGTGTAAATGTCGGTTAAGTCCGACTCCGCTCGAAATAATACACGCGACTTCCTCCACCTTTAACCGCGGATACGCCAACTTCCCGTAAAATTCCAGAAATTTTCGACGAAAGACGCGGGAGTTAAAGTCCGGAAGCGGGCGAAGAAACGCGCGCGCGCGCAAACGCGAACAAATAAACGAGCGTCCGCGCGGGTAGAAAAGTCCCCCCACTTATTTCGCATTGGCGGACGTTCGGAGGATCTCCGAGTCCAAAAATGCAAACGCGATCCGGGGCCGTACGTTCCCCCCGTTATAAACCGACAGCCGGGAAGGAATGCGAAGTAGGGAAATCGGACGATAAGGTAAAAGATTGGTTTGTAATTTCAGCAACTGAACGATTCGTCGGCCATCATCAGCATGTTAGAGACGTACTTGATGGATCCCCAGCAGAAGTTCGACCGGGTGGCGGAGAAGTATCCTTCCGTGGCTTCCGCCGATTCCCGGAAAGAGAAGAAAGAAATAATGAATCGCTACCACGTCATGTTCGGAGAGCGGCTGCCGCCCGACGGCTCTTTCGACCGCATCAGGTGGACCGTTCTTTTTATTATTCTTTCGCCGCCTCCAGCTTTTCTTATCAACCGTTTAACCGTTTCCCTTATTTAATTATAACTCGCATTAGTAAATTTTCGCACCGCGCGCAAAATATCCCGCGGAACGAAAGTACAAACTAACGTTAGCGTTGGAATAGCGAGAAATTGGCTACGGTAACTTTTACGTTTTTTAAAGTCCTCGGCGTTTTAGTAATACGTCGGAAGTTATCCGGGGCGGCAATTTTGTCCGAATTACGGAAATAAAAGAGGAAATTTCCGTAGTCCCGTAATTACGTTATTAGCCAAGTTCCTCCTTCGGCCGAGGAAAAATTTAACTGAAACGGCGCGGCGTTAATAAATAATATAAAACCGGAACCGACTCGGAAGTTTTAGTGAAGACTCCGTTGGCGATATAAAATTAATGGAGAAATTCGCGATTACCCGCCGGGTATCTACTACCGTCCCGAATATGTTTCAAGAGTAATGGAAAATTACGCCCCGTACGACAACTTCTCCCGGTAATTTTCGTTTAAAATAAAAAACCCGCGCGGTTTATTTGGAAAACGGCCGAAAGGCAGCGGAAGAAGTCGGAATGGACGGGATGCCGGAGTCCATTCCGGTCGAATTGTTAAATAGCGAAACTCGCCCAGGCCATCGGCGTTGCCCGTCCAAAAAGTTTAGAAGAGGCTGGGCAAATTACGAATTTTCTTTTCGGCGCTGGAAAATACAACGTCTTTCGAAATTTCGTCGAATATCGATGACGCGCCGCGTCGGGTCGTATCCTATTCTTTCTCTTTTAAGAATATTCCGAGAAAGGCGCCCGCCACCCGACCACCGAAACGTTTATTCGCCCCATCGTTCCGTTTTACATTTACCGCTAAATATAGAAAGAATAAAAGAAAAGGCGTCTCCTAACGAACGTCGTCCCCTTAGCCGCGCATTCTTAAATTACGCGTTACATCTTTCTACCCGCCAATCCGGGCGGGCTCGGGGAATTGGTAATTCCCCTCCTCTCCCGGGCGGACGGTCGGCGGTAATTCGAAGGACCCGAGCGAATTTCGCCGGGTCGGTACTCCGTTTTAGGGAAAGTCGAGAGGTAGGCCGGAATTTCCGAAAATATAGCGATTTTGGCGGGCCGGGTAAAACGCGTTTAGAGGGAGGCCGAGGAATAACGAGGATTACGCCGGTCCGATAATTAACGAAACGATTCGTGCGTAATAAACGTCTGGGGGATTTTTCCGGGGAAATCTGGCGACGGAACGTTTAGAGACGCGCGCGCGATTAAGAAAGAAGACAAATCGATACCGAATAGAAACGATTAAAAGCCGTGACGAGACGATTTTAGTGGGAAGGATAAAACCGTAGGAAGCGCATAAATTAGTTTTGGCGGGCGCGGGGTAAACGACCACGGCGGTCGACTATTTTACTTTTGCCTCGTTCCGTCATATTTTTCATTTAAATAATAACCAACGTTGGGAAATAAATTACCATTCGACACCGCTTATCCCGATATTTAAAATTAAAATAATAATGTTTTTTTAAACGGCGCGAATTTATACTAGGTCGAAGTTATTTACGCGTAACAAAAAACGACGGTATATTTAAATAAACGCAATTTCCAGCCAGGCGAAAATTAGTCGGTCGAAACGACTCCGGACTTTTCGGTTCCTTTCCGCGTGGGGGGGGGGCGAATTCGACCTTCCGACCGCGGACGAATCTACGAAATAAACGGGGACGTTTGCGTAAAAAGTTTGGATAATTTAAATATTTGCGATAATATAAAACTGCGTAACGCCAGGAAGGAAAATATTTCGGCAACGGCCTCTCCGTTTCCTAACCGGTGTCCGTTTTCGTAAAATTCCCTATAATTAAAGAATCTTCCGCCGTTCGTTTCCGTAATCGTTACGGCGCCGGCCTCTTAAAAGTTCTTATCCTCCCCCGATAAAAAGTTTTAATAATTAGCCGCCCGCGGAATTAATCCGGTTCTTAATAGTTCGGTACCGTCGTCCGCGCCCGTAATTGCCGGTCTTCGTATTAATCGTCCTCTTATTCCGGTTAATTAAGGCCCGCCGCTCTCCCAACTCTCCCCATTCTGTTACTCGTCGGTGGCTTTTAAGACGAAAGTGGAAAGTCTTCTTTCTTTATTGCAGGGAGGAGGTGAAATGGAGGAAGTGGGTGGACGAGGTGTTGGTGCATTCCCTCTCCCCCAATATATATCGGACGCCGGGAGAATCGTACCAGACTTTCCTCCACTTTTCCCGAGTGGGAGACTGGGAGCGTTACTTCAATCCCGTGGAGAGGCGCCTCATCGTCCTGGTGGGCAGCGCCGCCATGTACCTGGTGGGCAAGAGACTCAAGTCCAAGTGAGTCAGTTCCTAAAACGCCGTTTCCGAATTTCCGGCGGGGGCCGCGGTTCCGTCTATACGTTCCGCCGATATTTACTTAAACGTCGGACGCCGGCCGGGCCGCCAAATGTTTACGGCGGGCGAAAGTCGCGGTCCGAGGTTAATAATTACGGGCGCGGAAAGTAAAAATAGCCGGGGGCGGATAGACGGGCGACGCTAGGAAACGGGATCGTCGTCCCCTTCTTTGTTTTTATCCCGGGTATTGTATTTAAATCCGCGCCCTCGTTACGCTCCGCCGTTAACGTTTTTCGAAATCCGTTCGCGCCGCTTCGTTTCCCCTCTCCGGAATTGCCGTAAGAAATTTAAACCGCCGAAGAGGTCGTTAGCCGGTGGCGTAGATTGCGTTTCGGACTCTCCCCGGTGACGGCCTCCGTTAAAATTCCAATCCCGCCGACGAAAAGGTTTTCGTACGCGTTACGTCCCGACGGTCGCCGTTCCCGCGGGCCGCGGGAATTGTCCGGTTTGTAGCGGGAGCCGACATAAACGCGGGAAAAGTTGGAAAATGTCGCGTCCGACCGGGAAGAAAAGCCAGCCCAGCGCCGTCGGTAATCGTCGACACGTGCCGAAAGCCGGCGGGAAATTCCCGAAATCGAGGAGGAGAGGGAACTCTGTTCTTCCCGGTAGCGCCGACGAGAAAGACCGGAATCTATTTTAGAAGAAGAGTTTATTTATAAAGTGACGGATATTCCCGTTTCTTAATTTACGTTCCGTCCGTAAGAGTCTCCTTTGTGTCGTAGGTACGGACTGAAGGACGACGTCCGCCAGTCCCTGTACGAGCAGATCCACACCTGGACTCGGGCGGTGGGTGCCAACCGGTTCCGGGGAGGACGAAGACCCGATCTGTCCGACCTGGTGAGTGTCTTTCGCCCCGCGCCTTCCACCCCGCCCTCCGCTGACCGCTCTCTCTCGTTGCAGGCGGTGTTCGGGGTGCTCAACTCCATCGAAGGATGCCGAGCCTTCGACGACCTGATGAGGCGCGCCGACCTGCGACGGTGGTACTCCGACACGGCGGAGGCCGTCCGGGGTCACGCCGGCTGCCGTTCCTAGAAGAGAAGAGAAACGGGTTCGAACACCGGCTCCTAGAAGAGAAGCCACCGTCCTCCCTTCGCGCGCCCGCTGCCTTTTGTTATTTATAGAAGAGTTGGTAAATAAAATACAGCCTAATAACGCCGTGCCCCGTTTCTTTTTCCGCACCTACCGTACATACGTATCGGCCGTCCGCCGGAACCCGAAGAAGGTAAAGGCGGACGGTAGACGGGCCCTGGGGATTAACGGTTACCGATTCCCGCATCCGGGGAGAGACTTCCCTTCCGTCCCGGTTTTCGGAAGGGATCGTCCCTCCCGGCCGGAAGTCGGGACGAAAACAGACACCGGACGACGGCGCCCCAGGCTTTTCCCGCGGCTAGAGCGCGCGCCCTTCCAGGTAAGAGAGTCGACGTCATCGCCGTCAGCCAATGAAGGACGGTCGGCGGATCGACCCGATCGACGGCGGAGAGGCGGGCGGTGCCAGTGTCCGATCGACCGCCGACGACATGAGACGCGGAGTACGCTGGTTGATCCTGCTAACCGGCGCCCTGGAGACGGTGGTCTTCACCGGCAACATCTTCGGCTGGGCCGCCCTCAACTACATGCTCAAGCGACAGGGCGTCTACCGCCACCTCTGTCCTCCCTCCAACTTCACCCTCGACGCCAACGCCACGGTGAGTGCCTCCGCTTCTTCGCGCTCCCGCCGTTCTCCCCTCCCGGGGAATATTCCCTCCGTCCCACCGAATAATTCCCGCCGGCGGGGAAATTTCCTCCCTCCGGCGGTAGACGCGGGAGCGGGGTTAACGCGGCGGAAAATACGGAGATTTTCTATTTATCCGAGTTTCCCGGGGGGGTCGGACGGACGGTCGACCTCCCGACGCGGTCGAAGCGACCTCCGAACTCGGGCGTCGGACGAAAAACGACCTCGATCTACTTACCTCGGGTGATTTATCTTCGATTTCTCGGGGAAGGACGCCCGATCCCTCCGTCGGAGGCCGGGCGGAAGGCCCTTCCAGGAAGCGCCCCCTTTGGCTACTTCCCCGCGGAAAGAAACGTTGATTCCTCTCTCGGCGGAACCGGAACCCCGCTTCCCGCGGAACGGAAATGCTTCGGGTGGGCTGTTACCGCGGGTTTCACAGGCGCCGACGGATTAAGCGGATTTCGGACCCGTCCGAGTCCCGAGGAATAGTTAATAATTGTTAGGGTACCGGTCGAGGCGATTTACGCCCTCGGCGTCGTCGATCGACGCTTAAAATTGTTGGCTTTATCGGTTCCCTGGGGGGCCGGGCGCGCGTTTCTTTGTTTTGAACGTCTCCCTCCGTCTCAGGTGTCTCAGGAGTCGGGTTGCCACGAGCAGGACCAGATGCTGAATCTGGCCTTCACCGTGGGAAGTTTCTGCACGGGTTTCACCGCCTTCGTCTGGGGATTTCTGCTGGACAGTTGGGGTCTGAGGACCGTTCGTCTGCTCATCAAGTAAGTAGACTCGAGCCCGCCCTCTCGGCTCTTTCTCTCTTCTTCTCACCTCGGACTTTTTTTTCGGCAGCGGACTGATCGCCAGCGGCACCATCATGCTGTCCGTCACCAACCCAGGTGAGTGGGGGTCGGCCGCCCCGCCGTCGGAGAGGAGCGGCCGGCTATTTAGACCGTAGTGTTTAGGGCGACGAAAGTGCCAGACACCGAGACTAAAAGCCGGAACGGCCGTTAATTATAGGGGAAATTAGCCATAATGGCGATTGTTTGTCTATTTATAGAGACTTCCTACCTGATCTTTCCCGGGCTGACCCTGATGTGCCTGGCCGGAGTCCCGCTGAGGATTGCCAACATGCAGGTGAGGTCTCCCCGCGCGCAAGACCCGGACGTCGGACCGTCCTTCCGTTTCCGTTCCGGAACCGGAACCCGAAAGGAAGGCGATCCTCGACCGCTCGTTTTATTTTTAGATCGCCAACTTGTTTCCCAAGCAGAGGTCCACCGTCATCTCTTTCTACAGCGGAGGATTCAGCGCCTCGGCTTCCGTTTTCGCTTTCCTAAAGGTCAGACGCGCTCCTCCTCCTCCTCCTCTTCTCCGCCTTCTCCTCTCACCGTTTCTCTCCTCCCGCAGTACCTGTTGGACGCCGGAGTGTCCTGGGAGTGGACCTGGTTCGTGCTGGTGGCCTGTAGCGCCGTCATGTTGCCCGTCACCCTCTTTCTGCTTCCTCCGGACCGGATCGGCGACGACAACAAAAGCAAGATGTTTTCGGGGGTGGCGGAAGTGGCCGTGGTTTCTCCCGTCACCTTCGGAAAGTTCAGCACCCTTCCCAGTGAGTGGCCGATAACTTAATTTAGTTAAAATAAACTTCCCGGGGGAAATAAAGCCATGGGAGGGACATTGAGGCCCGTTTCGTATTTGTCACCGCCAAAGCGGCGCGCAGTTAAAGTCCGATATATACAAAAGAACGTTTATTTACCCAGGTTTGACGTATTACGATAAATGATTTTTTAAAAAGCGTGGGGAATAATTGCTCGACGGATATCGAAGATACGAACGCACGAAAATAAAGCGTTGGGATGCCGCCGCATGGCTAAATAACGCCAAACACCGGGGATGCGGGTATAGGTCGGGTCCCGTTTTCCTATTTAAAAGGTTCTTTCTCCGTCGGCCGATTTTAGCGCGTTAAAGTTTTCGTTGCCCGTATTTAAAATTGCAGTTGGTACACGGATCCTTACGGCGCCAAATTTGCCCGTTGTAGTTTAATTGGCGGATAAATTGGAGCGCTTTATTATATTTGGCCAAACCGCAGCAAATAAATGTCGTTTCGTATATATTGGACCGGCGGCTTTCGTTATTAAGTTGCCGCCGCCGGTTGTGGGTTATAAATAATTTGGTAATAATAAATAATTGGTATATAAATACCAAACGGACTTCATTTGGCCGCGCCACCGGCGGGAAGTTTGCGCGTTTTTTCGTCCGGATTGCCTGGACGGACGCAATTCTCGCCTCGGCCGGCGAAAAAGAAGAATAGTCGATTTGCGCGCGTAACGGGGCGCGAAATTAGGTGACGAAGTCCGCCTCTTCTATCGTTTCGGCCGGTCGAGGACGATTCCGGTATTTTCCGGCCGGAAGGTCCGAGTTTTCTTTTCCCGCCAACCGTTTCCGTTTCCGGGCCACTATTTCGGGTGCGGCAAATTATGGGAAGGTAGGGGGAAAGTAGTCGAAAACCCGAAACCGCCGGACTTTGCCCGAAGTAAAGGGTCGGTTAAACGGCGCCCACCGTTATAATCCACCTTTTCGTTATATTTTTAGAATCTCCCGTCTACCCCAGGAAAAACCCGGAAGTCGACCGTTACGGTAAGTAAAATTCGGCGGGCGACGGAAACGACCGGGAATTCCGGGATAACAATTCTTCCTCCACAGATGCCTCCCCCGCCGATCCCTATCCTCCCCGGCCTCCTCCCGGTAAAGGAAGAGTTCCGCTGAGAAAGTCGCTGCTGTCCTTTTCCTTCCTGGCCCACCAGTATTGGTTCTCCTGGGTGCTGCTCTACACCGTCATCTACATAGGGACCCTGCACCTGTGGATCGAGAGGGTGACCACCGACTCCCGATCGGGTGAGTCTCTCCCCGCCCCCGTCCGGGGTGGGATCGGCGCCGGATTAACCGATATTTTTCTCCTCCGCAGCTTCCGGATACACGGAAATCTACGGACTGGTGCAGATAACCGGACTGGTTCTGGCGCCGCTGGGCGGCGCCGTCATGGACTTCTTCGTGGGCAGAGCCGCAAAGGGTAAGCGAAGCGGGAGAGGAAGCCGCGGGCCGAGTGGTGGACCGCGGCGTCTTTGCAGAGGAGGACTGGTAACCGTGCCGTCTTTGCAGAGGAGGACCCCCTGGAGAGGAGGCTGAAGACCGCCCGAGCCGCCTTCTTCCCCATGCTGATCACCACTCTGACCGAAGCGGCCATCCACGTCTGCAGGTTTTTCTTCGTGGAGGCGGCCATCTACGCTTCCATAGCGCTGATCACCCTTCTCAGATCGTCGTTCGTGGGAGTGGGCACCGCCTACCTCAGGACCAGGTGAGAGGGGGGTGGGGGGTCTTCGCCCGGGGGCTGTCGAACTGACACTTTTCGTCCGCAGGTTTCCCGCCGACCACTTCAACCGTCTTCTGGGCATCATGAGCACGGCGGCCGCCTTCTACACCCTTCTGCAGTTCCCCTTTTTCGTGTGGGAGGCCGAGAGTCGGACGGACAGTCTCTACGTAAGTCTCCGCTCCGGCGAGCGGCGCGACCTTCGCGCTCCGCCGCCTCCGCCTTCTTTTTTCGGCTTTTTTTGGGAAAAGTACCCCGGACTTTCTCCCGGGCGCAGCGGGCCGTAACTAATCCGCAGTTTTCTTTTCCGGGAAGCCGACGACAAATTGGGTCGACCCACTTCCGTCTCCGGGTGGACGCCGGCGCATTTCCCATCCTTTTCGGTCGGAGACGAAATTTCGCGAACGCCGAAAGGTGGCGCCGTCTCCGGTCCGGCGCCCCACCCGGATGGATTAGGTACGGCCCCCACTCTCGGTGGTGGGAATGATTAGAAAATAAACCGTAGGACGAATTTCCCTTTTCCTTTGTCTGACGTATTTTTTCTTTCTGCGCAGGTGAACGGAGTGTACTGCGTCCTGTTGGCCGTGGCCCTGGTTCATCCCCTGCTGATGACGGTCACCCCCTTGCAGCGACGCCTGATGGAGAAAGAGAGCGCCCGACAAGGGGAAGGAGAGGCGGGATCCGAGGGGGGAAGAGTGTAGGGCGCGTCCCTGTAAATTATTGTAGCCATTAATTCTGTACAGAGATAAACTTTTATAATAAAGGTCGTTTTCGCCCGCCAAGGGCGACCTCATCCACGCCGGCCGCGAGGTCGACCGCTTTTTTCTCTCGGGCGATTTCGTCACCCTCCGGGGCGGAGACGTCCGCTCCCCTCCCCGCCGCCAGAGGGGCCGAGAAGACCGGGACCGGAGGGGGCCCTTTTCCCTTCGGGAGCGTCCCTGGGCCGGGCCCGGGCGCGTAGAAAACGGGAGGGAGCGGGCGAGGACGGAGCGAAAATAAGCAAAATTTCCGAAAGAGCTAAAAAAGATCGACGGGGCGATAAGAGGACGGCAAGGGTTTCTTCGGCCGCTAACCTTTATTAGCCATTGTTCTTTCCGACCCGGCCCGGTTAGTCGCGCTCCCTTTAAATTAGAGGTTCCCTCCTCCGACCTCGGGATTCGGGCGGGAATTTCTTTTCGAGAAACTCGATGTTTTCTCGTCTTTCGGCCGTTTCCGGCGTTTGGGGAAGTCCCGCCAGCCGAATATCCCGATCTTCCCTCCCCTCCGCTGCCGAAAAACGGAGGATGGTCGGGATTCTCCCCGGACGACCGGGAGAGTCGGTTCCCTACTTTCCGGCCGAGGGGTTTCCGACCGTCCGTTTCGAAGTCCCTCTCCGCCGGCCTCCCGCGCTTACGGAGGGTAACTCGGCCAGTTTCCGCGGGAAAGGAAACGAATTCACCCGTTACCTCTCCCTTTATCCTACGGTGGGGCCGAGTCAACCCGCTAAATACGGACGGACGAAACTTTTCGCATTCCGAATAGAAGACTTAAAATAAAAACCGAGACGTTTAGGTTTCGTGGGTACGACCTCCGGGGATCGGCCCTTCCCGATTCCGCGGCCATTTTTACCTTCTCGCCCGGTAAGGAAAATACAGTCGGCGACGTCACGCGCGTCGGACAATTCGAAGTTTACGTGGCAATTAATTGGATAATTATGCAAATTTTATATCTGGTTTCGCAATCCTTTCTTCCTCTCGGGCAACGATTAATTTTTTGCACGCGTTCGAATCGGATAATAGCCGCCGCGCCAAGCGTTTACGTGCCGAGTTTAACGGCGACAAACTTATTTAAAACAGAAAAGGGCTTTTCCGGTCGGCACCGCCGGTTTAATTAAAGGGAAAGACGGAAAAGTTACGCCGTGGCCCGGTTAAGAAATACGAAATGCAAACGCGTCTAATTATTAGCGTATAATAGGAAATAGTTGCGCGAAACTCGCCTTATCCGAGAAATTTCCGTTTCCGGCCCCCGTTCTATATTTAGGCCGTTAAGAAATCTTTCCGGGAAGGCCGATTTACGTCTTTTCGTCGAAACGACGGTTTTTCTTCCGCGAAATCCGGCGTTTAAGTAGAATCTCCGGTCCGACGCCCTTTCGCCAAACAACTACCGGACCGAAATTCTCGGTTTTCGTGGCGAATAACGCGCCGCCATTATTCTCACCGCGGCGTTAACTCTAAGCCGGTGGGAATTTACAGTCGTCGAATAAGAAAAAAACAATACCAGAGTATTTTATAGTCAATACGCATTTAGGGAATAATTCCATCGAGTTCTAAACGTTAGAAATCGAAAGAAGGGAATTGCGATTTCTTCCGGTAAATAACAATCGGAAGGAAGACGGCCGAGTCGCGTATCGGGCCCTAAGGATCGTAAGAGGAGTAACCGGGGCCGGAGGAACTCGTTTTACCTAACTTCCGGCCGGGATCTTTCCCCGGATAAACCGAACTGCCGGAGTTTTCGCCCTCTTCCGCCGACCGTCGGTTGGCGTAAATTATTTTAATTAATAGTCCGAAGTTTGACGGTAACCGGGGCTTTTCGGAAAAAACGTTTCCGGAAATTGTCTACACCGTCGGCTTACGGCCCCGGATGGGAAAATCGGGCACCGACTTTTCCCCGTCGACCTCCGAACGACTCGTCCCTCTACCTGGATTTAACCGCCAGTCGACGACCGCTTTGTTTTCCGCCTAGACGGAATACTTATAATTAGAGAAGGGAAAGTTTCCCGCTCCGCCAGCGAAGACAGAAATGAACTTTTTGAAACGGCCACCGTTTTTCCTTTTTCTCGGAGGGTGAAAATCGTCGATTTCCTCTAAACCAGTGGTTCTCAACCTTTTTTGTTGATGTACCCCATTAGTTGTTTCTCAAGTACCCCTTATATTTTTGCATGTAAATTTTATAATTACTGCATTACATGTATAACCTTATAACTGAGCGCCATAAAAAAACTAACTAACTATATAACTAAAAGTGAATTACTTATTTTACATAAATAATAATAAATTTAATCAGGTACATACATTTATTTATTATTATTTGATAAGTATATTAGGCTATATAAAATCACAGTATATAAATAACATTTCCTAAAAATAAATAATTATAATTAACGATAAAGAAAATTTAAATTATTCTACAATAATTTCTAACAAAATTTAATGGGATATTTGTCGCGATAAATCTTCAGCAATTTTTTCAAAATTTGGTTCTCATGTTTTTAAATAGAGATTATAATTGTGTACTTACAATGTAATAGCTGCAAATTTATAACGTGCAGAACAATACACGAATCTTTCAATTTTTGTAACAAACGTAACATCTAAATTTGCTAAATATCAAGTAATGGGCGCATGCAGTGACACACATTGCATGGTGAGGGTACGATCCAGGTCTCGTTATTCCTAATACCAGTAGTCCAGTAAAAACACAAAAAGGGCCAATATCATAGAGCAATAATTATAAAATAGAAAAAAAAATTTTCTATTCTAAAATTAATGCTCGGTTAAACCGTAATTTTACTAGACTACGGGTTCACTCGGCACTAATGGCACAAATAAACAGGCAAATCGAGTGGATAAAGAAGTTGTTTGGACTGTTAAANTCTATTCTAAAATTAATGCTCGGTTAAACCGTAATTTTACTAGACTACGGGTTCACTCGGCACTAATGGCACAAATAAACAGGCAAATCGAGTGGATAAAGAAGTTGTTTGGACTGTTAAAAGGGAAATTGGTGTTCGTACTGGGATATTTTAAAGCAAGTTTTTGTCGTTTATTGTTTCTTGTGTTAATAATTTACGGCAAATTGATTAACGTATGCCATTTTATAATGAAAGTTAGATGTACCCCTTTGATTTATGCTTGTACCCCTAGGGGTACGTGTACCACCGGTTGAGAATCACTGCTCTAAACTATTCGTCTAACTAGGTCCGAGCCGTCTTACGAATCCGCGCGGCCCGGGTTAAAATATGCGTCTCGGACACGGATTTTCCCGGAAAAGCGGGAGTTGGACCCCCGCGGAGAAAACAGAAACGACCGGACTAGAAATCTGCTGGTACACAATCTTTATTTTCGAAGAAACCATAAATAATTATATGTACTGTACTTTTCGAGTGCGGATTCTACCGTGGCACTCCGTCGTCGGTTTCTCCCGTCTCCGCCACATTTTCTCTTTGCATATTCTTAAAAACGGCGGGAGAAGGGGTAACGCCGGCCACTCGGGTGGAAATCCGTATAAAAATACTTACGATCCCAAATTACGCTTCTATTTCTTCTACGAAATACGTTTGGCTAGTAGCGTCGGGAAACGAAGGACGAAAGGGGATACTTCCGTCCTTCGGGGCCAAGAAAAAATAAAATAAACGACCAAAAAGAAAAATACTTTATTAACGACAAAAGAGAAAAAAATCTCCTCTGGCGACGTAAAAGGTAAATAAAATAAATAAAGGGCGAGTTTCCCGACGCCGGACTAGAAGATGCTAGAGTAATTCCTGAGACGTACGGTTACTAGGCGCGTGGCCACCGCGACCGACGGGAGGAGACGAAAGGAAATAAACCGGTGGGGTTGCGGTGAGAATTTCTCGTCCGGAACCTTCGAATGTTTTCCAAGGCACCGAATTTAGTGGTTTGTACGACTAGAAAGTGGCTTTCCGCCCGCCTCTACACTCGGGTCTCGATGTCCACCTGGAAAAGGGCAGAAGAACGGACGTCAGAGGCCGGTCTACCTTCGGCCGCCGCCGCCGGAAGGCCACTCACCCTCCTCTCCTCGCCGCCCGCCTCGCTTCCGGTCTCCATCTGACACAGGTACTTGGTGGGCGATCGGCGATGGGCGCCGGCGTCGAAGGACAGCCGGAAAGAGGCCTCGATGGGTGCGTGGGTGCCGCAGTCGCCGTCGTTGTTGTTCTGGATCTGGACCAGTTTCCTGCGCAAAGAAACCAAACTTTAACCTTCGGCTCTCCGCTCGCTACTCGCGCGCGATAACGTCCTTACACCGCGTAAGGGTGCGACTATGCAGACGCGAATTTACAGCCAGCGATTTACTTTTCGCGAAGGAAAACCATGCACAAGCGAGAAATAACGCTAGCGAGAGCGAATTTCTGGTTCTCGCACGTATCTGACAGGTTTTGATATTTATCGCGTCTGCATAGTCGCACCCTAAGGCGCGGTCTACCAAAAATATAAAAGTAATTGGAAAGTTTTTCCGCCCCGTAATTCGTCTCTCCGTTTTCCTCGCCGTTAACTTGCCATTTTGTTTGACCGATTAATTACATTTAAAGTAAAGAATAAAAATATCCGGATTTTATTTCAAAAATAACTTTTACCTTATTAATCGTAATAACAAATAAATGATGTTTCGTATTATTCATTATTACAAAATGGCAAAAGAATTCTTTTCCGGAGTAGCGACCGGTTTTATAAAAAGTCGTAACTGCCGATAAGGATCAAAATCGCGGTCCTATCTGCCACCAAAATTTAATAGGCGGATGTCCCTCCGCCTATATTCCGTCTTTACCCCGTCCCCTTTTGGGCTTTTTGGGTTGGGGAGGGGCGCTTTGGCAGTAATAAGGAAATGAGTTACCGACGGGCGATAAATAAAGCGGTTCGTTTAGCCGGGGAAGGGAAACAAAGACTCACCTCTTGTTTCTGTAATACGTTTCTCGCTGTTTGCCGCAATCTTGCAGGAAATTCTGAAAGGGAAAATTTCGTTTCTTTCAATATTCTTTCCGTCATCGGCGCGTAAAACCTCTTCCGTTCGTCGGGCAATTCCTAAATTAAACGCGGACGAAAACAAAAAGGTTACCGTACCTGAGGGTGGGTGGGCAAGACCCCGCCGCCGCCGATTACCACGTTTTCCTGGTGGTCGGCGGCCGAGTTTCTTCCCTCCAGACCGGAAGTCTTCTCGGGCGCCTCCCCCTCCTCCGACCGCCGGTTCCGGTTGCTGTCGGTGTCCGGGGCGTTGCCGTTGCGCCGGTTGCGGTTTTCGCCCTCCGAAAAGAGGGGCCGAGTCTCGGTCTGGGTCTGGCTTTCCACGTAGCGTTCCGACTCCGCTTCCGCTTCCGGGTCGTCGGCCGTCTTCTCTTCCGGTCGGAACCACCGAGTCTTCCGCGCGTTTTCTGAACTAATTTCCAAAAAGAAAAAAAAATCGGTGGTTACGTCCTTTTGGCTTCCGGTTCCTTTTTATCGCTGTTTAAAAAATAACTTTTATATTATTATTGGCCACGCGTAAATAAATTTGTGCGGTGCCGTGGGTTACGAAATTTCGTTGTAAAAACTGTACATTTTTTCCTTATTACAAAACGACAAAAGGCCTTATTTACGGGTGAATTTTGTTAAACGACAGTAATCGTACCGGTAAAATCTTGGGTGGGTCACATTGCGCGCGAAATATAACGCCCGTCCGTCCCCTCGGCCACCAAAATTTAACAGCATCCGAATCGGGCGAATTTCGTTTCTTAATGTTCTCCCGTCCCGAGACATTAAACGAAATTTTCTAACATTTTGGGTGCGGAGGTCTGGAAACGTCGAATTTTCGATACTTTCCCTCGTTACGTGTAAGTAAAGACCGGAAAGTAGAGACCGAAATAAGCAATTCTCCCTTTTATCTTCCCATTATAGACAATTTATTTATATTCCGATCCCCGTCTCTGCCCGCGCACATCCGTCCATTACAATACGAGAACGTTGCCACCATGTCGTTAAATCCCATTATTGACGATACAAAACGTATTTTTAAGCTCTCGCCCTTTACGCACCGCCGCCCGTGGGAAATTTTATGTCAAAAGTGCGACATTAGTTCTAAGAGGCAAACGCGCCGTACGACCATTTTATTATTACTATTATTATTTTGCGTTATCTTTTAACACGGATAAACCCGCGTAAAATGAAACTGGCTGCCGTTTGCTGGGCCGTCGGTAAGTCGGGCCGGAAAAGGGTGTTAAAATTAGCGCCGAATTTGGCACGGATGTTCTTCGCCACCCCAGGAAAACACCGCGACTCTCACTCCCAAACGTCCACCGACTTCAGCCCCGGCAATACGTTTGTTTCGCAGTTTCGTTACGATCGACGTACGTTTTAGTTATTAAGACTATTGTTTTTATCTGTCTTCCGACCCCGCCTGGTCAATATTTCACTACGCCGGGAACCAGCGATTAATATTATATACAGTAGAGCCGCGATTATCCGACTCAATTGGGGACTGGGGTTGGTCGGATAATTGAAAAGTATGAAAAAATCTATTATTAGTGTAGTATATTATTATATCCCGTGTAATTAGTATATTAGTATATCGCTATTAACCAACTTCGCGTCGAATTTTCATCGATGTTAACCATAACAATTTTTTTTTAAAATAATAATCATCGCTATTGTATCGTTAAAAATTAGAAAATTAAGCCTCGTTTAAATACTGGCTCCCTTTCATGGTCGAATGAGTGTTGCCAGCTAAAACACGTAAAAATAATATTAAAGAAGCCAAGACATAGCCAAATATTGTAGCGCCACATCACTAGCGGACATTTGAAATTTGCCGACTAGGAAGGTCGGTTAATCGAGGCTTTACTGTACTTTATATTAACTAGCTGCAAGGCAGGCCCGCCGTAAGCGGGCGGCACGTCTAGGGGGCGGCAAAGAGCCTTTCTGGCAAGCTCAGCGTAGGTAGTCGTAGTTAAACAGGGGGCGGCATAATCGGTATTGCACACGGGCGTTCAAACAGCTGGCGGCGCCCCTGCTGCAAGGACCCGCTTCGCTGGGTTTTTATCTGTGGGCAAAAAGTAACGATAGTGAAGATTAAGATAATTACATTATAGCTAATCTTACCCGTTTTCACAAAATGCAAGAATTAGGTCCCCCGTTTCCAGACTAATTAGAGAATTTTTACGTTTAGTCAAACGAACTATTTTCAACGTTTCTGGAACGTTTACAATCGTTCTATAATCGAACCAATATTCGAATTTTATGTTCGAATTGAAATTCGAACAAATTCCCCGTGCTGACCCGCAATTCCGGAATTTCGACGCGTAGGCGGGTCGGCACGGGCATTCCGCGCGCATTTATTTTTACACCTACCGAAACGAAAAAAAACGAATTCCAATTTACTATCGTCTGAGGATTTTTGGACGGCGATGGGTGCGGAAAGCGCGCCACCTCCTTCGTTATCTTAGCTACCATTATAATTAGACGTAAATTGAATTACCTCGTTTGCTCGGCGGGAACTTTTTGTACCGACTTGCGATTAAACCTCTCGTGGGCTCTCAGGAAAGGCTGAACTATCCTGGCCACGTGGGGCCTGTTAATTCCCAGTTGTAAATTTTGTTCTCGTCTAAAACGAAAAACAAAGTTTAGTACGACGAGGCCTGGCAAATAATGTAAAATTTCAAACCGATGCGTACCACCGAATCTAATCCTTAAATCGAATTAGGGCTGCTTCACACTATGACCGACTGGACCAACTCCAAGTCGTGTTGCCATGGCAACAGCAGTCTGCCGACCGACTAATTGTTCCAGTCGGACAGATTAGAAAAGTTAAATATTTGTAGTCGGGTCTGAGCAGTCGGTGAGCTACAGCTAATAAGAGCTTCGAAGCTAGGAACGAACCCAATGCTTTCTTTTCATGCTGAACTTCTTATCTGTCAGCAAAATTGTTGCACTCTTCTTTATTTCTGTCATAAAGTGTTTGACACCTTCGACATCGTTATTAATGATACACATGTTTAAACTTATTATAAACTTTATGTACTTTTTTCTTGCAAATTTAAAAAATTTGATATCAGAACGTTTATCAAAGCGGTTCGTTAACTGTCTATAACCTCTGTGCTGTTTATAAAATATTCCAATAGATATTGTTGCCAAAGATATGGCCTGACGATAAATTATAGCATATTCAGAACTACAATTTCTGGATACAAATGAAATATGTTTTAAAACAACTCGAAATGCACGATCGGTTTCCATGACGGTCATGTTTTCTGTTTAAATTGAAAAACTTACCATGATTGGCTAGTGTTTTGATCTGTAACACGCGTTCCGATTGGTTCTTACGAGTCGGCCACCGACATATAGTCGTACTCAGTGTGAATGCTTTTAATACTAGTCGGTATTTAGTATTAAATACTATAATTAGTATTTAATACTAAATACTAATTATAGGATCGATCGGGTCGGACCAGTCGGTCATAGTATGAAACAACCCTTACGCGTGGGAAACAACGGGCAAACGTCCGTTACTCCACTTTGCCATCTTTATCGGACGGAGACTGTCGTAAACGTCCGCGCCACCGTCCGGTCCCCGTGGCAAATTTGCCCGGGACGAGTATCCCGTCACCCGATGTTGCGTTCCGGAATGGCAAACGGAAGAGGCTTTTATAATATAACGACCGCTTATTTAATTGGTCGGCGTGGGTTTCCGATGCGCCGACATCGGTGAATTTTAGCGTTTCCCAACATTCTCCGCCATACTTTGCCAGCCGATTAAAGCCGACGTTTATTATTTCATCATTCTTTAGCACGGGTATTGTCGCTTTCCTTCCGTTAGGGCCCGGCCGGCTAGTCTAGTTTATTAAGGTACGCGCAATAACTTTTGCCACCGTTCCCTACAAATACTAATTCGTTCTTCGGACATTTTAATTTAAGCCAACTTTACCGGTACCGGATGAATTTTAAGCCGGTCGGACTATTTAAATTCGACAGAATGTCCGACCGGTGTATCGATTTAGTCGTTTATTTATTGGCCTTCCCTTTAAATTCGTTGGCCAAATTTTAAACGGGCGTCTGTCCGTGCAAAACGGGAATCGCTCTATTGCCAGTTGTAACATTATTTTAACCGTCGTTAAACTTCTCCGACCCAATCGAAATTTTGACGACCTTCGTCTTTTTTATATATTAATTTTTGTGAATACCGGGAAGGCCCGACTCGTAACGGAAGTGGACCGTGGCCCGAAAGCCAACCACCGCGCCACGCGGGAATAAGACAGACTGTATTTTCGCTGGCGTAAGGATCGACGTCGGGCATTTATTTTATCGTTTTTAAAATGTTTTTTAAAGCCTCTATCCGTCAAATTTTAAGTTTTGTAATATGTACAGTACGGGGTCGTCCGTACATTACGTTATCGTTAGGAGGAAGCGACTGCCTAAAGACGGTGTGGTCCGGCCACTCGACATTTTTGGTTTTGTAATTGTCCTTCTCTGGACGATTTAACGAAAGAACCGCAAAATCTCTCGAGTTAAAACCGGCGCAACGTATCCGCGCCCGATGGCGCGTTCTTTCGTAACGGCCGAAGGAAAGTTCCGCGCGACTAACCCGCCAGTCTGCTCCCAGTATGGGCAGGCTTCCCCGCACCAAATTGACCGGGCCGGAAGTATCGGCCCCAGTTTTGGCTCCTGCCGGGTAGCGGGGTCACTCCCTTATTGCGCGGCCGTCCCCATTGCCGGCTCCATCCGACCCGCGACGGATGCGAAAAAAGGCCCCCTTAATTAATGCCGGAAGGACGCAAAACGTTAAAAACGAAAACCACCGAAAGACGTAGCGTTTGGGTGGTTTTTCGCTCTTAACGCGGAATCGGCGGGTAATTAATCCGCTTAACATTAACGTTTTACCTGATGAGATCTCTCTCTCTTTCTTCCAACTGAAGCAAACACGCCGCTAATTCCATATATAAGTTATTCGCTTTCTCCAATTTTTTTTCGTAGTGTTCTCTGATGTCTTGCGCGTGCCTCAGTTCTTCTCGTCTTCGCGCGGTTATGTCCTCTTCCAGAAGGGTCATGTGACTGCCGGTGTGACAGAAATCTTTCATGTAATCTCCGATTTCTTTTCTCCACGAAATCTGTCAAAAATAAATTTTGCATTAAAGAGGCGAAACAATTCTTGGAAATAGAAGTATCGTCGCCGATGCCACCAAAATGCACATTTTGCATATTGATCCGAGTACCCTCCCCCGCACACCGCGCGGTGGAAAGAACACAATTAATAATAGCTAACTAATTTTTCATTAATCGCATATTTTGCGTAAAATTTATAAAGACATATTTTTAGAAATTTAACGTATGCATTCGCATTAATTAGATTTAATAAAATTGAATATAAACGAACGCCTAAACATTTCTGTGGCAGCCGGCACTGTTTTGGAGAGAAAAATTTAAATTTTCGTATCGATTTATCCGGGTTCTGTATCAAAGTCTCCGCGCGCGTAATTATAATATAATCCACTAACTGCGGATCCTCCGAAATGTTCGGAATCATCGGAGGAATGGAGCCATTTTGCGCAGCCAGAAAGTCCGATAGTCCTATGGAAATTGCTCGATACGAAGTTATTCTACCCAAAGATGGGAGAGTAAAGTGACCGGAACAACTAAGTTTTTAATACAAACTGTTCTTTATAAAAATAAAAACAAAAACCTTTGGTCAAGTTATGTAAATAAATTGAAAGGAAGTAAATAAAAGTTATTTCTGTATTATTGTATTACAAAGTTGGCAAATTATTGAAAAATTAAGTAGATTTAGCAAAAAACGCGTATTTCGTACGTATTAATGCTTAATACCGGCTTCGAATTTGCATAATTCTGGTTGCCTTAGTATTACACGCCTACCACCCGTTATTATTCGCATATTATACGACCCGTTTTTGGGTGGCGCGATATAAAGTAAGACAAGAAAACGTGTTTAAAGGCAGCGTAACGTCTAGTTGGCATTGTTCGAATTCTTTCTTTTAATTTTAATTGTTCTTTTGTGAATTTTATTGATTTTAACGCCGTTTTCGACAATAAAGTACAGAATTTAAACTGGTTTCCCGGCTTTTATCTAGTTTAACTCCCGTAAAGTAGGTTACGTAATACGTAATTGGCAAAATGCCGTTATTAAAAAAATAATTATTCGATGAATTTTGGAAACTAAACATCCAGTAATTTATTAAACAAATAAACATATTTTCAGTTATTGGGTGGTCGTCTCTTCGGATGGCGGGAGTATAAAACAATGGCTCAGAAATTTTAAAAGAACAAAAAGTTAAAAGAAAGGAAAAAATTTTGATAACTATCCGATTAAATTTTATTAAAAGATAAAAAATGAATATTGTATTATTAGTTTTACTACTGTTATTGCGTAGAAGATTTGAGAAAACAATAGAAAAAAAAGGCTTAAGTGTAAATTAAAATTTATTCTCCCCGTTAAAAAATTATTTCCTGGCTGTGGAAATTAATTTATTTGTATAAACATGGTCGTTATACAATATTTATTTCAAGAATCTCATAAATCAAGAACATTAAACGGCTTTCTTTTTTCCAACGTGCCTTACATCGAAACGTGTAAGACCTGTTACAAAAAAGAAAGCCGTTTAATTCCAAAAAATGTCTGCATTTCATTTGGGTACTAAAAACTTCTAAAAAACTGAGTGAAATATATGAGCGTGTATTGTATAGCGTATTAAGATAAACTTTAACGTTTTCTTCAAATTGTAATTGTTGAGAGATCCTAGATTCTATATGTGAATGTTTTTTCTCTTTTCCACCGAAAGTGCTTAAAATTAACCCCAAGTGGGATGTACCGAGAAGGAAAGGTTTGTCGAGCGTGAAAAGTTGATTTTTTTTTTAGGAAAATGGGTTCCGGATCGTGAAGATCTTCCTTGTAACGATTGCCAGAAAAAGCTTGAGAACCACTAGACAAAGAAACCAGATAAACTATTCTTACCTATTCAACACCAACCGAGATACAGTAATAGTTCGACATAGAGTTGTAACTAGAAAAGAGAGAGAGATACACAAATAAATATATATACAGTATATATATTTCACTAATAGAGTCGATAATGGCAAGATGCGATTTCCAGCAACACCGATAACCGACAATCGGAATGAAGCCTCGTATTATGTAGGAGGAGTTTGTAATAAAAAGGAAAAAATTTAGTGAAGGATACCACCGGACTGGAGTGCTGGATAACAAAAGTTGGTAATTTTAGAATGTGAGGGAGGTCTTGCCTGGCGGTATTTCATTGGCAGAATTTGATCACCCCGTTTCTTCCATCCTAGGTGTCTCAAAACCATTCTCATTTAGGGCTTCTTTCTCACCTTTTTTGCCCTCCACAACACAATTTCCTTCCCTTCTTGTTTGCCTTTGTCGCTCGGTTCCTTTCTTCTTTCTTCGAATCGGGGACCGACCGGCATCCTTTCCTCCCGGCAACATCTCTGGCAGAGTGCCTCGAAGATCGGAATGCACGCTACGATAGTTACCCTACCCGTTGTACTGCGCCGTTTCGGCGGTAATTGTCGGTTTTTTGGGCTATACATTGTTGATTTATTATTTTTTTTTTTGATATTTTTGATTAGCAGCGCCGCTACAAAGTGGTATTTAAGGAGGGTACGGACTGGAGGGCAACTCTCGCTCTCTCGTCGGGACCTTACGGTTGGCACCGGTTGCCTCGGTGTTGCTCGGGAATTTGCATTTCTTTTTACGACTGTGACATGTTCTCGGGAACCGTGCATTGTGTCGAATTGCTAAGGTAGTATCGGAGCTAAATCCGTTTGCGTCGAGGAAATTACCTGCCAGATAGGTTAGATTTAGTGTTCAAATTAATGAATTGTTGGTGAATAACATTGTCCGACAAGTATTGTGGAGATCCACTTGTTAAATTGTTGAAAGGACTATCACGTGTAGCCTAATTGCGCAACTTGTAAATATATTCTGTATATATATTTTGTATATAAACTTAGTTTTATGTGATATTTCGTTGTCTCCCATTGTTTGCGATAATCACACTTCTACGTACCTGCAATCAACCTATTATGGATTGTGAATCCCACAAATGAGGAAGAAACGGTCAAAAGTAGAAGTGAAAAAAGACAGAAATTTAGTTTCAACACTTGGTCAGAAAGAGTGTAGAAAGATAAGAATAAGAGATAATCAAGTTTACATGAAACTACTATACCATAAAAAATTATTGATATAACTTGCAGAATGCCATAAAATTATATCTCTGAAGAAACATAAATGGAGAATGAGTAGAACAAGAATTAGATGTATTACATTAGTGACATTGCCTTTTTAATTTTTATATCATAAAATTTTATAATCTTTTCTTTATTATTGTAAAATATTGTTCTAGATCAAGGGTCTCCAAACATTTTTGATCGTCGACCCTACAAATTTTCGAAACCACACATCAACCCACCAAAAAGTTTGTTATCAGCAAAACAAAGTACTTACTATTTTAATACATTTCAGTGAAACAGATAAGCCTGATCCTTAGCTCTCCCTTATCCTTAGCTTAAGCTTGATAACTGACCCCCAATAATGTTATATCAACCACTTTGGCAACCCCTGTTCTAAATGTTTGTAATCCAAAGACAGTTATTGTAAAAGTTAAATGCATTTGTTTCTTTGTTTAATGAACTACCAATCATACAAAACGTTTTGCTTTCCAATAACAATATTAAAATAAAATTCTCTTCAGTGCAGTTAATAAGTAATGAAACATATAATTCCAAAAGTTTATTTTTACCTGAGTCTTAAAATAGCTGTCTTCTGAAAGATTTATAATTTCTTCTCCTGCCATATCTAAATGAAACAGTATGTGATGAAATGAAGGTCTATTTCTTGGTTTTTGACTCCTGGAAATAATATAGATATTTAAATATATTATTAAAGAAACACAGTACAAACTATTGTTATTTTTAAAAAATATAAACAAATACAGTACTAATCTTTTAAATAACTGTACTTTTAAAGTGTTGTATAGTTTTAATATCGGTATTAATCTTCGACCAACATTTAACAAATTATTATTTGATAAGAAGGAAAGGAAGACTTAGAAAGGAGACAATATCAAAAATAATAATCATCATTTATTGAATGTTTAGCATTATAATATTTTAAGTATTTAAAACATCTGGTTGAGAAACAAATAAGTACTAAACAAATACAGTATTCCGAACCATTCCTTACAAGTCCCATTTTGGGGTTTACACCCAAAAGACATCTTGCAATAAATATAAAATATAATATTTAATAAAGTGGATGTATTGACAGTCTATTGCCTTACTATACCACTTCGTTGTGTGTGAGAGAAAGTAGAAAGCAAATATCCAAAATTAATTATGGATTTAGGGATGGACCAAATAGGGATTTTGGCCAAATATCAGCCAATTTATTTGGAGCTGCCCAAAATAAAAGGCTTAGACTCTTAAGCCTTAGAATAAGGTGGCGGGCAGCATTTTCTATTCAATAATAAAGATTACATACATTTATACTTAAAAAAAATACATTGAAAAAATAAAGTTAGGGAGATGAATAAATATGTATGATTAGAAAATAAACGCACATTCTTGCAAAGAGCAACATTTCTAATTTATTTCTGTTAAAATTATGAGCAACTACATCTGCTGATTCATGTCCTTGCAAAGAATTTTGTCTCTGAAAAACATAACTTTCTTTGTCCTTCTTTGATATTTTGCAATTAGTATCTTTTTCTGTAGATATCATCATCAATTAGTAAGAATAAAAAGAATTACCTAAATTCCTCTTGCAAAATACAACACTAACACTCAAAACACAATCTTTATAAAACAACCACTCAAAAACTGGGTAAATTTGATAACAGCAGCATCTGAAACCAAAATCCAGCATACAAAATAACGTAGCAACTGAAGATGGCTGGCTTCGGCGCTCTAACTGAGCTAACTGAATAACGGAGCTTCGGTTTCAGCACTCTAATTCGTTGAGCCTTCGCGCATTTGTCTGACACACGGGACAAGGACAAAGAGCTACAAACTGTTGCTTGATATGCGACTCTATGTGACTACTCTCCATACACCATCAAAGGCCTAATAAGTCACTTTCCTCTGCCGCTTTCATCACGCTGACCCTTTGCACGCGGGACACCGTATACAAGACAGTCACGTACGACAGAAGACCATCTGCCTGTTGAGATATTTCCAAGAACAATAACTTTTGTTTAGCTTTCTGGAGAAGTCCCTCTGTTTTCACCCTCCCCTGCAATGCCAAAGACTGGCCAGACATGTACTGTACCTCCAACCGGGCATATACACTATCCTGGTTACAAAACACAGGACCAACAGCCACTTGAAATATGTAGATGCTATAATGCACCCTTTAAACACCCACCTCGGAGAACATCGGAATTCCATCCCGAAAAGTTCGGTCGACACCGCCTAGACACCTTTGCCTCCGACCCCGACATAGATGTTCATTTTGACTGTGCACGCCTCATATATAGCTCCATCCTGAAACATCATCTCAGATATTTAAAGCAGGTAGAAATACAAGGCGGCCAGAAAAAATAAAGCAGTTAACTTTTGCGATGTGAATTCCTACCCCACAGTGTGGAAGACATTCTACAAACTGTGAACTTTCTATTCTCTCACCCTCCCTCCCTCCCTCTTTGTAATGTCATCTTCCCTCTTAACACATGTATGACAATCCCACGTTGTTTTAACAGCTGCGGGATCATTTAGCCTGACGATGCTCGTTTAACACAAGCAATAACGCTAGCTCCCATTATTTTGTTTGCTGGATTTTGGTTTCGAACGCTGTTGTTAACACGGTCTTTATTATTCATGCAAGTGCATGTACATAAATAACACAGCTAACTGTAAGATAATATCCACTAGCAAAATATAATGGTTGGCAACACGATTCACAATAGAATAACAATGAAAACATTGAAAATCATTTCTCTCTTTAGCCAGTGTTTTATTATTTATGTTAATTCTTTCACAGATACATGAATTTTAGCTTTGTGAATGTGAAAAATGGTTGCAAATATCAAACCACAAATAAAGAATACACAAATATGAAACTTCTACTTTGATTAGCTTAGCCTAAAAATTTTGGAATAACATTGTTTTCTTTAAGTATTTGTTATAAGGCTGCAATTTGAAAAAATTGTAGATTTATAAATTCCCACTGTTTTCCATCTGTCTGTGTGTCTTTCCTTCCTTAATCTCTAGAACAGTATTATACAGATGAATGTCGAGATCAGATATGGAAAGATCAGGGGCAGGAGCCCCAATTAACTATATACGAACTTCTGGTCTAGAACAAAAGTCAAATATTTTACCCAAAACAGAGTTACACAGATGGCTGACATGACTCCTGTTGTTATAAGGAAAAACACGATGTACAGGGGCAAGACTACTAATTTGATATGAGAGCATATATTTTAAATTAAGTAAATAAAAAATATGACTAAAAATTGTAATCGGGCATTGTGACAATGACAAATAATTTTTGTTCATTAATATAAAATATATCTCTGGATTTTTCAATATGTAAAATTGTCATTCTATTAAAAAAAAGTTTTTTGCCTTTAAGTTCTTGTGGCCCTATTATTAACCTTTCTTTCATTAAAGAACATCTGATTCAGTATCATGATCAATATTATTTGTTCTTTATTTATTTAAAATCTAATAAAAGAAAATTATGTTACATTTAATCAATGAAATAATTAAAAATCTAAAGGTGACAAAATTTATTTTGTTCAAATGAAATTACTAAATACAGAGAAATAATATTTTGAATAGTTAAAATTGAATTACTTCAGACTATTGAATTTAAATTAATTATTGACAAACATTTTCTAGTTAATTTAAAATAAAAGAATTCTGATTGTTAAAAAAATGTTATCTACTTCTTGTTTATGAATATTAAAAAGTCTTCTTTCTTCAGTATTTAAATGTAAAGCTTAAATATTTAAAAATGGTCTACATAATGTTAAAAATATTAATCAATTATTATTCAGTAAATTAAAAATTATGATCATGTAATATAGTAAGTACTCCACCTTTGACTGCTTTTGTTTTATTAACGTGATGCAAGATATTGGCCCAACATCTTGCACCATATTATTAAGAAAAAACAAATATACTTCAGATGAGATATAATGCCAATACTGGGGTCAAAAATATCAGTCCACGTTATAGAAATCGGTAATCTATCAAATTAACATACTTTCACAAATATTGATGTCACATCCCTCGATTGCTCAACGTGCGAGTTGACAAAAATATGTTAACTATGACGATAGCTTTACTTTTTGTTGTATAATTCATTTTAAAGCATCTTTGATATTATACTAACAAATAATTTTGGCATTAAATGGTTACATTAATTGTAGTGCAATGACAGTAAAAAGAATTATTGTTTAATTTCTATGTGAAAACTACCAAAGTTCAAAGATAAAAAGCAAGCATTAAAGAAGCAAACCAAACTAATTAGTTACTTAAAAAAAATACATTGTAAAAATACAAAGTATTACAGACAATACGAATATGAATTCTTGTCTTTTCCTTCGTCCTCTTTCAACATCACAGGAACGTGATCCACACAGTGGAGTTGACCTTTCTTTTTAGGCTACTTTCTCCGCCTACATTTATGTAAATCAGGTAAAAAGTTCCTTGACTTTGGATTCCATTGTAAAAATTGTTTACATTATAAAGAAAAAATCTAAAAATCCAGGACGTAATATAATTATTTTCAAAAGAAATATATTGTAAAAAGTACAAAGTATTACAAACGAAGGAAAAGACAAGAATTTGTATTCGTATTGTCTGTAATTTGTTCATTTAAACATTTTCTTTTCTAGAAAATAAATAAATTCCAAAAAAGTTATAAAAATTCAATGGAGTCAGAAAATTTCTTCTTTTGTTTTCTTACATAAAATGTAAAATTACGAAAAAATTATATTTTTCTTTCCTTTCTGACTTTTGGATAATATAAAACTTCAATTTTTCAAAAAAACAAGCCAATAATGACTATAAAATCTTTAAAAAACAGAGTTTAAAAAGGTATAAAAAAGAANCAGATTAATATTAATAAATTAAAAATAATTTTTAAGGAAAAAAATATTGTAAAGCGAAAGGTAAAAGAACACTTCGCTATAATTATGCAAAACAATAATGTTAATTTAAATACCGGAATGTTAACAGCGGCATGCTGGGAGTTTTTTGTTAACTGTATAAGTGGCTCTTCAATGAGTTGACTGTTTGAACGTAGATTTTGTGCTGTAAGCCCCACTGAAGAGGCCATAGGCGAAATGCATTTGGGAAGCTTGTTAGTAATGATGTAAATAAAAATTTTTTTCTCTCTGCAGATTATTTTCTTTTTTATACCTTTTTAAACTCTGTTTTTTAAAGATTTTATAGTCATTATTGGCTTGTTTTTTTGAAAAATTGAAGTTTTATATTATCCAAAAGTCAGAAAGGAAAGAAAAATATAATTTTTTCGTAATTTTACATTTTATGTAAGAAAACAAAAGAAAATAAATAAAATTTAAAAATTTTTCCAATAATTATAAATACAAATTTTTCATTTATAATCTACAAATACAATGGAATTACAATATCCTCATGTCTATTACTGTCTGGTTTTGTTGATAATCATACATACATTAATGGAAACATTGCAATATTATATAATTTTATTCAATGTATTTTAACATAATTATTTATGATTAATATTAAATAAAACTGACCAGCATTGCTTTAGTAGTAGTTGAAAACCTTCGGGAAATGATGATGGAACGGGAAGATGCAGGCTGTTATTTCCCACTCCCCATATAATGGCTGAAGAATCTACATTTTTGTAAGGAGTCTCACAAGTCAGGAGTTCCCATAACAAAACTCCGTAGGACCTGAAATTTCAAAAGTTAAATTTTTAGAACATTTTTATTTATGACTCTTTCAAACAAACCTTTTAGTTAGAGAAATTGTTAAGATGTCCAAAAAGTGAAAATACAACAGCTAGTATACACTCAAAAGGTTTTTATTTGACCAAATGTCCACTAAATCTTATTTACTGGTATGTGCATTAGTTTGTTTCAGTTGAAGATGGTAACGTAAAAAAAAAACCAAGAGCCTGACATAAAGATGGCAACTTATTGCCAGTTAATTCAGTTACTGTTGAACCAAAGGAACACTTCAGTTTTAGATCTAGTGGCTGCTGCCACCAATTTTTTATTTAATAACTTTGCCAAAATGAACAAAAATGTATTATGTGATTTGTTTGAGCAGTTTCTGGATTATATAGTCTATGCATCTGATGATATCAGCAGTCCTTCAACGATGTGCCTGAACTTGTCCATGCAAGCCAAATAGCCAATAGGTGCTGATGTAAGCAGTATGAGTCACTGAGTCACTCAACCATAAACAAGGAAAAACATTTGCAGCAAGACTTAATGATGTCAACAAAATAAAGATCATGAGTCATGAGAGAAATTGATTCTGTGGGAATGTCATGTAACTAATGTGTGATTAATTTAATGGTTTATTTATTGAGATGACCATCTACAGTTTTACAAACTGTTGTACTAAATGGATACATTGTGGTTGAAGCTTGTGATTGGCATATGCTCATCCATACTATTCGGAACCTATAAAACTTCAGAGGCATCGAGATACCAGTAAATATTCAGCAATGGAGTAGATTTTTGGCACAAATGTTTTCTATATATATTGGAATGGAAATAGAGGGTAGGAGGTTCACATTTACAAATTGTGAAAATAAGCTCCACCCTATTCTTCACCTATCACAATGTGGTTGAGAAACTCATCTGCATGTACATAGTGGTGTGAGGAAGTTGAGTGCAAAGCCCATCCATTTCATTTTGTGTTTGTCCGTTAACATTTTGGATATCCAGAACGCAGATAGTTTCCTGTACCTTTATGTTACAGTCACTGCTTTGTGAAGTGTGGACTTAAGACATATCTGGAATGATTTCATGCAATTCTCTTAACATGACATACTGATTTGTACAAACTGCTTCTTCAGTTCTTTGAAGAAGTTCATCAGAGATCGCTGACGACCTACCACTCCTATGTTCGTCACGAACATCATTCCTGCCTCCATAGAATGCATAGCATTGCTTTCTTACACTTTGTCAATTCATAATGTTCCCATAAATGGAAACAATTTGCTTGTGAATATCTGCTGGGTGCTCATCTTTCTCATTGAGAAAACATATGATAGAGCACACTTCGTATTTGGCAGGATTCTGAAATGGCACAGCTATTGTAAACATATGCTACTCGAACCAGACTCGGCATGACAATGACGAACAACTGCAGAAAGAGTGCAAAAGTTTCAAGGTCAAATCAATTGTTGTCAACATATGCACTAAAATATTAGATTTCTGTTTATATGTGATGTATCTTTTCTTTTCAGACATGCCTCATATTATATAATTTGTGCATTCTTGCATCATAATTTGATTGGTTACTCTATACAGCATTGTCAAAATGAAAGTGGAACTTGTAAATAGTAATGCGAGGAGTTTAACAATGTCATGAGCCAGCAATACAAAAAGCATGGCATCGTCAAACTTTTCACGTTACTTTACATGAGTTCTACTTTCAGTTGATCATCTGTACAATTATGAATTTGATTTGTTACACATAGTTTATTAATTTGTACTTTAAACTTTTAATTTGCACACACATATCTAATATGATCCAAAAACATTGGCATTTTGAAGACAAAAGAACAGTTTATATCAAAACATTTTATGTACTTTTTGCACACTGATCATAACAGTGGAGAAAAAGTTTCTTTGAAGTACTTTTGACATTTGTAAGAGAATTATGTTAAACGAAATGATCTCAACTCACCAAACATCCACTTTTTCCGAACAGGGTTCGTTACGAATGATTTCCGGTGCCATCCAAGAAACGGTTCCGGCAAAACTCATTCGAGTACTAATGTCGTTCCACTGTCGACAGGTTCCAAAATCGGATATCTTAAGAACATCTTTTTCTCCTATCAAAACACTGAAACAAAATATTCACACACATTAAGTTTTTAGACTGCAAAACATGATAAATAGGCAGAAATTAAAAGCTATAAAGTTTATATTATACTTAGGAGATTTAAGATCTCTGTGAATGATTTTTTCGGAATGCAAATATTCCATCCCTCTTGCAATCTGTTTGCTCCAGTCTACAACCGTCAGAGGAGGGATTTCTCTGTCACTTTTTAAAATATCGTACAGTTGTCCATAAGGGCAATATTCCATAACAATGCAATAACAAGGTGGCTGTGTACAAACACCTCTACAAAAATTAAAATGTATGTAATTATTGAAAATGATTTTAACATATGATAACAAATTGAAAAATTAATATAGAATCTTTATTACAGTAGAGCATCGTTTATCCAAATCAATTGGGGACTGGGGTTGTTCGGATAACTTATTTTTCAGATAACTGATTATGTAGAAAAATATTAACCTCTCTTATGTTGAAATTTTTCTCCATTGCGAAAAAGGAATCCTCACATAATTATTTTACATGCCCCCAAAGAAGAGGATGTTTAAAATAATATTATGAAAAAATTTATGACCAAAACACGGAATTAACAAGAAATTTTCCATGGATAGCTTTAAGAAGGAGGTAATGATCACACATGCCATAAATGCAAAAAGGAGTGAGGATTATAGACATGTACTTATGAATATTTCACCAGCGATCAGAAACACAGTAATAAACATAAAGTGGATATGTTACAAACGAGGCACACTACTGGTGGATAACTACATCCCAGTGATATAGATGCACCAGATTTGGGCATAAGGCTGTTGAATGTGACTCCCGGGAGCACTGCAGTCAATGTTTTAAAAGGCATAAATACAATGACTGCCCACACAAGAAGGAAATGCCAAAGTGCACCAACTGCTCAGAATATACAAGAAGGAAGAAGACACAACACAGACCATAATGCCTTTGTTCATAAACTTCATGCCCAATCCTCTAAAGTTACAAGAAACTGATAGTAAAGCAAACACTTTATGAATAACTGCCCTGGTCATCCTAGTTACTATTCCAGCATCTAAATGACTAATACTAATCCTAATGTCAAAATACTTCAAATAAATGTCCAAAAAGGTAAGGCGGTATCTTCTATGGCCCTTAAAACAGCTAATGACCTGGATGTTGATATTATATTTATTCAGGAACCATATACAATTAACAATAGGATTGTCTGCTTTGGCAATTGGCAAGTGCTCAGCAAGTAGGGCACAAACCAAAGGCTGAAAAATGGCATTATTATAAGGAACCATAGCATTGACGTCTCTCTAATCCCTGGGCTGAGCCCAGGACCATAGATTTACCTGAAGGGAAGCTATACTGATTTTTGTGCATGTGGTTATTTTTGGCCAGGTGCCAGTTAATCCTTCCGATAAGTAGGCTGTCCAGGACTTTTCCCATAGCTGACAATAAGCTAATAGGTCTGTAGTTGTCTGCCTTTGTTGGATTATCAGTCTTTGGGATGAATTTGACACTGGCCACTTTCCAGCATTGCAGAAAGTAGCCATTTGTTAAACATGCATTATACACAATGACAAAAGCTATGGGTACCTCTTAAAAGGCAGCCTTTACCATTTCAGTAGTAATTAGGGTTTCTTTCCTGGGATCCCGTTTTCCCAGGATTCTCGCCGTTTATTCCCCACGAGAAAAATCCCGGGAAATTTTATTTTCCCGGGAAATCTCGCATTTCAATAATACTTTACTATGTCAGGTTTTCTTTCTATTATTTATTATACGAAAAGTTGCATCTTGAAGACTCACCTAAGAGTGAAATTTTGAGGTTTCTTGCTGCATATTATTACCTATGTTTTACAAGTCTCTACTTGTTAGTTCATGTAATATCTATGTATTGTGTTTGCGTATCATTGAACAGCGGAGACTTGCTGAAAGTAAATATCACTCATCGACCTTTAGTTTATTTCATCTTTAGAAATAAAATAGTATTTTTTTCGTAATCATTAAAACTCCCAATGAAACGCTTTATTTTACTTTCATTTTATAATGTAGGAGAACATAAATTAATTTAGCCTAACGTGTCCGTATGGGTGAGATTGGCCCTACACTTTTAGTTACTTACTAGAAAATAAATTAAATTATTCGAATTTATGATATTCCTGTATAATCTTTTTTATTCACATAAAATTCTATTTTACTATGTCATCCCGGAATTTCCCGGGATCCCGGGAAAAAAAATTATTTTTCCCGTAATCCCGCTGGAGGCAAATTTCCCGGGAAATGAGAAACCCTAGTAGTAATGTTATCTGTGCCTGGTGATGTTTTGTTGGCCACATGTTTGACTGTACTGTTTTGTTAACCTCCTATAAAAATGGACCACCTGCCATTCCCAAAGGCAGTATTTTCCGTGATGGCAGCTCTAATTTCCTTGTAAATTTCCTGATCCTCATCAGGGTTGTCATCTGGGAAGTGATGTTGGAGTAATTTATCTATGTTCACTGCAATGTCATGAACCATTACTAGCTACAATATTTGGGATTATCACCCACTTGATCTTTTTAAAAGCTACCTGGTAGGGATGTGCCTGGGGTCTCTACAGGCCTTGCTGCAGAAGGCTTTCCATGCATTGGACCTTGCTTGGTTAATATGCTTTTTATATACTTTTAGATTTTGCTTGTAAAAGATCCTTTTCTTTTCCTTTAGTGTGTGGTCATCCTCCCTTAGCCACTGTCTATGGGATTTTCTGACTTCCCTCTTTTTACTCTCCAGATCACTGTTCCACCACTAGGTGCCCTTATTATTTTTAACTTTGTTGGTGGAGGAGTTAATGCCCACTTTAATAATTGAGTCAGTCATGTGTTGCATGTATTGGTCAATCTCAATGGTGTTTTCCAGTGAATTAAAGTTGTAACTTCTCCAGTACTCAATGAAGAGTTGCCTAAAGAGATCCCAATTTGTGATATGCCTTAAGCTTTTATAAGTGGTAGCACCCATATGGTTGACATTGTTGATAAATGTTAGAATGTAGCAGTGGTCACTCGCTGATGTGATAGTTAGGTTTTCACAATTGTCGATGTACTGTACTGTCCAATAGAGGTGGGAGCAAGGCAGATGTCCATTTATCCTTTTGTTCTGCTAGTAAAGAAGGTAGAGTAGTCTGGTGTTTAACAAAAAACAATCCATTTCATTCATCAGATCAGTAAGAAGCCTTCCTTGATTGTCCTCATCCTCATGGAACCATGTGGGCGATTTAGCATTGACATTGCCACCCATGATGTAGCCTTCACCATTTAAAGAACTGAGAACTGTGCGGAGTTTGCTGATGCACTCTTCATCGTGTCAAATGGCAAAAAATAGAGACTAACCAGGTATTTGATGGAGTCTGAGTTGATGGCTACTATGGTGATCCTCGCTGGCCCTCCACAGTGCCAAAAACTTTGTTGAAAAAGCATGGGACAACAAGAAGCACACACTCTTAATAAGCATAGACTTCAAAAAGGTCTTTGAACACCTTTGGTGGCCATCTGTCATCTGTCTTCACAAATTAATTAAACTGCCTGGATAACATCTGTGGCCTCACCAAAAGCTACCTGAGTAATAGGAAAGTTGGTTATTACTCGAATACTGTTACAGCGGAAAAAGTTATTAACCTTAGATGTCCTCAAGAGTCATGTAGCAATCCAGATATTTGGAACTTGGTGTACAACGACCTATTGGAAACCATAACAAACAATCAAGACACCAGGGTGCAGGGTTTCACAGACAATATGCTCATTCTGCTAGCCCATCAAAACTCTGATAAACTCTAATTCAATGTGAACAAGATTCTAGAGAAAATTGGTGAATGGAGCACCAGGAACAGGCTTTCTATCACAGGAAGTGTGGGGAGCCTGCAAATGAATCTCATATTCAGATTCTCACAATACCACTCTAGCCCAATATGCAAGTGAGCTGGGTACAACAGCCAAATGGGAAGAAACTAAGATTATAACACCAATATACAACAATGGCAAACTAAGAACACTAGAAACATTAGAAATCTTTGCAAAATTCCTTAAAGTTAAAGGAAATTTGAAAAAGTTAGATTTTAAGATCTTACAAAATCTAACTTTAGCTTTTTCAACTAACAGACACTTAATGTTTAAATAACATTAACAGCTGTCTAATAAATTATTTTTTGTTTGTGAAAATTATACGATTAAAGAAGTTAAAGTTTTTGTAAACATATCTAATTAAAATGTGTTATGACCTTTCAGATATAATTTTAAATTTCTGCAATTGCAATCTTTTGAATTATAATTTGAAAATAAACATTTTAAGTTAAATTAAAAGTTTCCAAGGAATACTATAAAATAATAAAATAAGAACTTCACTAACTTGAAAGTCACTATGTTTGGATGTTTCAGTTGACGAAGATGCCTGATGTCGGTCTCCGACTTTTCTCGAACCTTCTTCACCGCCACCAACTCGTTATTCAGACTGCCCAAAAACACGGCACCCTGTGCCCCACTTCCCACCCACTGAAGATTGTGAATTGTTTCAAATGGGATCTCCCAGTCATCTGCAAACAATAAGCAAATTACTTAAAGCTTTAAATGTATTTATAAAAATACAAATTTCTGAAGCTGAATAATATACTAAAAACAATTACTCATAACGCTCAGTGTAGTAAAACATGTCCAACATGAATAAAATAAAAGTTTGATTGTCTAACATCTCAAGATAATTAACACTTACCCTGCTGAATGTAATATTACGTTTCAGGAAGTCTTTGGTAAAATGTGAAAAACATAATATTACATTCTTCTATATATCAAGTTATTTTTAGCTTTAAAATGTAACATTATGTTTTCAGCAATAAAAATACAATTTATTTGTGTATTGTAGTGTGTCTGTTAACAAATAGTGAGCACTATTTATTTAGAAATTTGAAATACAGTACAGCATTGATTATCCAACCCCCGATCAACCGACCGTGTTCTAGTAGGCAAATTCAAATGTCCGCTAGTGATGTGGCGCTACAATATTTAGCTATCTTGGCTACTTTAATATTATTTTTACTTGTTTTAGCCAGTATTTAAACGAGGCTTAATTTTCTAATTTTTAATGATACAATAGCAACGATTATTATTTAAAAAAAATTTTTGTTAGGCTTAGCATTGATGAAAATTCAACTTGAAGTAGGTTAATAGCGATATACTAATATACTAATTACACATGATATACTAATTACACAGGATATACTAATATACTATACTAATAATGTATTTTTTCATATTTTTCGATTATCCGTTTTTTTCAGTTATCCGACCAACCCGTCCCCAACTGAGTCGGATAATCGATGCTCTACTGTATACGCGATTTTTTACAACTGCGATTATCGTCTGATTCAAAGTTTCGTTGCCATATTTTGCAAGCTAATTTCGAATCATTTTATTTTTTATATGAGTTAAGTTAAATATGGAGCATTAACGTACTAACTAATGTACTAACGTTTGAATTGATTAATACAAAATCAACAAATATAGTGCCGATTATATTGACTTATCTGACAAAAATGTTGCGAGTTAGGCCTAAATCTTTATGAGTTAGGCCTAAATCATAAAGATTTAGGCCTAACCAAGATCGAAAAAAATATAAATAAGCCATGTAACTTCGTTATTATTTTAAACTGTATAATTTATATGATATTACATAATTTATATACAGTAGACTCCCCTATAACGCGGGTTCATATAATGTGGATTCATATATCACGGGAAAAAATTGCGACCGTATTCATATAAAGACACTAACAGAGACCCGTAAAATGCAGTAAAACGTCATCGCCGACTCGTGTTGCAACAGGATTGATCAAATCTGGACCAATAGCAGCCAAACTACTTACATGCTACAGAGAGTTTAGGCAGGTAAGTCGAGTTTACTATCGTCTGTACAGTATATAAATCAGAAACTGTAAGTCTAATACAGTACTGTAATTTTATACATTTCTTGTGAAAAAAACATTTCTTATTCAACAGCCATAAAAATTATTTCTATTAATGATGTCTCCAAAGTTCAACGAATTTTTCGCAGAAAAATAATTTATCAGAAAACGCACCTGCCATTTGGTGTGCTGCTCCGCGACGAAAACAAGCTTAAGCAATGGCGTCGTCGAACGGTGCACACTCAGTAAGTAATCCTACAATTTTTTGTTTATAGCATAGTTTATACGGATTATTCCCAAAAAATTATACGTGTTTTGGAAATGTTGAGTCAAATTAGTGTAGAATCTATTAATTTTATGGAAGAAAATCTTTCATACAGCTGTAGTCCGTAAACTGCACACGTGCCGGGCTGTGATTGGCTCATGTATTTAAAAATTCCTACAATGTGAAATTCTTATAAAGCAGAACGTATCTACCGCTTTATATGGGGGGTCAACTCTATATAAGTTTAAGGTTACATGACATAACTCATTGTGAATGGTTGCATTAAATAACATGGGTATAAGGTTTTATATTTGTGCTTAATTTTCATTGTGAATGGGCCTTTATTCCCATACATTTAATTTTAAAGCGATACTTACACTATTGTTTTAATTGTTGACAAAATCAAAACGAAATTTAAATAACGAAAGAGATGTGCACAAACATTATTAATTTAAATATTCATATTTAAATGAATGTTTATATACACATATGTATATATTGTATTTATATACTAATCTAGCAGGTAGGCCCAGCGTTGCTCGGGCAAAAGTAACAATAGTGAAGATTAAGATTATTACATTATAGTCAACCTTACCCGTTTTCACCGAATGCAAGAATTGGGTCCCCCTGTTTCCAGACTAATTAGAGAATTTTTAGATGTGTCTAAAAATATGTTTGATTTCCCGCAAACGAAAAAAACTGCATCTGAGTCTCGCACGTCGCTTTCTCTTAACAATTCCATTGTTACGTAACACTTCCTTTGTTGACACATCCATTGTTGACGCTTCCATTGATACTAACATTTCCATTGTTGATAGAAGTGTTAGGCCTTAATCCTGTCCCTCTCCCCGTGGGGAGGAATTTCGAAAAATCCCTTCTTAGTGTGCATTCTTGTGATGTACCCTAACCATGTACCAAATTTCAATTTTCAACTCCTAACTGTTCGGACTTTGCGCTTATTATTATTATCAACACATCTCGATTATATATATAGACACAGGAGTTTTAAACTGTGTACACTTTTTCATATGCCAAAATAGTTTTACCTATAGCAATCATAAATAACTACTGTGTTTATTGTAATTAATACTATTATATTTGTTAATCATGAGATATTGTCATCTATAAATATATATGATATTATAAATGCCTACTTNCCATTGTTGATAGAAGTGTTAGGCCTTAATCCTGTCCCTCTCCCCGTGGGGAGGAATTTCGAAAAATCCCTTCTTAGTGTGCATTCTTGTGATGTACCCTAACCATGTACCAAATTTCAATTTTCAACTCCTAACTGTTCGGACTTTGCGCTTATTATTATTATCAACACATCTCGATTATATATATAGACAAGAAAAATTTTTTAAATTAATTTCATTTTAATTTTCAAATTTTATTCTATGGCAGTGCTAAAATATAACTTTGAACAAAGGCACCCATTAGTACAGAATAGCTTGATTTGAATAAAATTAAAATAAATTTATATCAAATATTTTTATGGATTATCAACTATATTAAACTGTCATAAAACATACCAGTAAGCTCTCATGGGTTGGCTTGAGTTTTGAATTTACTCACGATCAGCATTAATAAGGGTGGCCAAATATCTATAGCAAGCAGGCAGCTAACAGTACCTGCCTAAAATTAATGGTATATCTTACTATCAGTGTGTCCAGAAATGCTATTCCAGATTATATTTATGGTCCTAATAGATATAAAAATTTGAAACTTTGAATATAGTAAAAGTTCAAAAAACCACTTTTTTGCGATATTTTGATGTGTTCACCTTTAACCTTTAAAAACAAAATAGTTGTTGCTCTAAAATTTCTAGTAGCAGTAGTAATTCAAATCTAGTGGCACATCATTTTAAAAGAATTTTAATGCTGAATCCAACAATGCCACTAGATTTAAAATCAAAGAAATTGACCAGAAGTTATACTGGAAAAACCTTATTTACTATATTCAATTAAAAATAAAATAAAATGTGTTTTTTTTTTTTGCTTTTTTAGAATAATCAGGTCCTGTAGAGAAGCATTGGGAATTATGTTTATCAGAAGTTTCTTCTCTGAAATTAGGAAAATAATAAAATATAAACAAGGAGTCTTGCATTAAAAGTTTAAATGAGATTAAATCTAAATAATGTTTCAGGAGTTACTTAAATCATTACTCAGCTACTTTCGAACATTAATTATTGTAAAAAAATGTTGTATATTCATGGCATTATTAATCATGACTACCAACGATTACTTAAACACAGTTATTGTAATCTGTCTTAAGCAGTGTCTTAGACATTAAATATTAATCCCCATAACGATTAATTGTTTATACTACAGTGGTTTAAATTGCTGTTATTTCTTATTTAAGTTATGTGTTAGCTGTTGTTGAAGATAATACTGAACAAACCTACTTAATGCCTTCTTGATGATGATACAGTGATAACTAAAATGGGAGGGGGGAGGAGTGTGTCTCCTCCCATTTTAGTTATTTACTGTACTGTATGACAATCAGTTTACCTGATGTACAGTACATATAGTGAAGAATTTTACATCTTTTTGTTGTTTTATTCATTTTAAGGTTTTACATGTTTCTATTTTTTTTTTTCTGGCAGTTTTAAATTTTACAGCAGTCACATGTAAATATCATTTCAATTTTAACTACTGTACAATATGGATGAAAGAGGGGAGAGATGTCCAAAATGCATATCCATTTCATTGTACAAAATAAAGACTATTTTATTCATCTAATAGTGTTCCTGTATTATAAGTTCTACTTAGCAATTTTGTGCTTACTCCCAAAGAACAAAAGAAAAAACAAAAAGCAATGAAGTATTATTCTATTAATTTTTTGTTATTTGTATTTTATTCCTTTATTATAGGCATTATTTATTAGGGGAGGATATCAATTGTCTTGTGACATTTCCTTTTGTGTGATAAATAAACATAAATAAATAAATAAAATATGAACTGACCTGAAGTATTCTTTTACATTTAATGAATTTTGTATAAATAAAACTTTTTAAACATTAATTTTGATAAGTTTTCATAATTTGATTATGCATGGAATTTAAGCTAAATTTGTATACTAAACAAAGAAATTTACCTGACTGTCTAGATCTGTTGACAGAATTTTTCCCAATAATGTCCCAGAAAGGCCGAAGACAGATCCAAAGCCCATCAAACCAGCGGCCCGAATGAGAAGAGGAGTCACCGTCGGTGTGGTGGGGAAGGTCGGGTAGCGAATAGGAGAGATTCGGACTCAAAACCGAACACTGGGCCACACTACTGGCCGAGAGTCGACTGGAGGTGGGCAGACTCGGAGTCTTTGGACTCTGGTCCCGACTGGGTTCTTTCATGCAGAGCATACTGCAACAAACAGAAATTTATTAAAATCAAACAGTTTCAGAAAATACATTAACAGATACATATTAAGTGTGGGCATACTCTCAGGAAATGAGATATAAAAACTGAAATACAACTAAAAAACTCAAACACCATAGTAAATACAAAATACAATAAAACATTTTATTACCAGGAATTATGGATACATACAGAGTAGATGACTAGACATTCACACAATACTTAATATTAATTAACTTTTACCTTTCTCCAAAGTCATCTCTATCGCTACTACCACACATAATTGCCAGAGATGCCGGAGAACTGAGACTTTCACTGACGGACTGTCCACTTTCAAGTTCCGTAGAACTTTCCATGTTGTTTGGAGGATTGTGCATGTCGGGCAATTCAGTCATCCCTGTTTTACAAGAACAAGATAAGTTTAATGATATATTCAATTTATATTAAAATAATTTAATGAAACTGTGGCCGTCAGCCATATACATATATATTTGTATTGTAAGGAACCAAGTCCAAGTATTATTTTTAGTTACTTTTAATTTTGCAATTTATTCTATTTTGTTTGGGGTTTATGCTTTGTTGGGACAAAGGTTTCCTCACCACTCACCTTAGAAACTTAAAACAGAAGAAAGAAAAACCAACTCACCAACGAGAAGCGCCATAGAAAAAAAACTCGCGCACACTTGCACTCCCAAGTGGAAAAAAGTAAGTCCGCACCGAGAAGAGGGGGAGACCCCACAAGCACAACTCAGGAACTTGCTAAACCTTAAAAATGTAAAACATCCCGAAATATTGTCAGAAAAAATAATGTAAAAGGTTAGCAAGTATTGTCGGGAAATAGGCTGCCAGGCAAAAAGGAAAAGTTCAATGTTACAGATAAGTATGTAAATGAGGGGAGTGGTCTCAATCAGAATTGTGATGTCACCTCATAGAATAAAGCTCATATCTCAAGCGAACATGAAGAAGGTGAGCTTCATAGTAGCAAACGAGAGAGGTGTCCGATAGCAATAAAGTTGTTCCAAGGCATTTTGAAGTTATTCAATTTGTGGATCGAAGATTGGAGAAAGTCTTGACAGTTGAGGAAAAAGGTTCCTAGTATATTGAAGTGACAGTTAGGACCTTAGTTCATAAGACTTATTGTACATAGGTTAGACACATATTTAAGAAGGTCGAAGGGAGATCTAGAAGAGAGGATCGTGAGGACAAAGACTGTTAAGAAATGAGGTACGAAAGGATATTCGTACTAGTGGAAGGCTCAAAAACGTTTTTTGAACCTCAGAGAGGATTGCATAGTTTGGTACAGGAAGAAGGATCATACTTAGGCTTTGAATTGTGAAGAGAATTCAAAAATTGAGAACCCTGCAATCAGCAAAGGAATCAACGAGATGACAAGTATAACAACCTCAAAGAGAACTCCTATCCTAAGAGCATACCAGCGCAGACAAAAGAACAAATCCTGGGTGACTGTAGAGTTCCATTCTTCCTCATTCCTCGCTTTCATATCCCTATAGGGATATGAAAGCCTCTTTAGGTTAAGTTAATTTTAAGGTAGTTTAAGAGTTAGTTAAGTAAGATTTATGTATGCGGTTAGGCTAAGAAAATTGTTACGCAACTATTCTGCAGGAAAGTTATATTCCTGAATTGTATAAAAACCCAACAAAAAAACAATCTCAATGTGACGCACCTCGAATCTTGTAAAGTTTTACAAGTTGGAATTCTTTAGAATTCCAACTGTTCTTAATAAAGAAAGGATTGTGTAACCTAAGAAGTTGTCGTGTGCCTTTTCTTTTGTTTGTATGTTTCCTTCGTGGGCAACATCATATCACATAACAAACTACCACAAAACTGCTGAAATCATACAGTACAAATAATCTTACTTTTACAATAATAATTGTTACTTTGAAGTTATTCTTTGTATTTATCAAAATTCATTCAATACACTTTTTATAACCTGGTTCTTTCTATGGCCACAAAAACTGTTTATCATCATACTTAAAAGTATAATTTTCAAATATATAATCTATCATTGATGAAAGAACATCAAGTTTACTATAAACTAATTTTGATAATCTCAAACAAAACTTATGTCACAAATCAAGATACTAATACACAGACAATTTTGTGCCATTTTTCCAAAAAAAAAAAAATATATAAAAGTAATTAATAACAAGTAATTAAAAGCTGTACAAAATCCTACTAAAAATATTATTTTAAATCATTTGCCAATGATAAATGATATCAATTTGCAAAAATTTGATATTAAATATCAAAAATTGTAAGCCATGTGACCATACACCATATTTTGTATATATTTTAATTTTAATTTAGTAAAAATTCCTTTCTTTCTTCTTTTGTCTTTCATCTTTCTAGAATGTTCCTTTTTAACTCTTTCCCCTTGGGTGTTGGTGACTCATATATAAAACAAAAGAGAAGAAGAAGCCCTGATGGATAAGCTTAAGAGAACACGATACTTTTTGGCTGGACGTCCAAGCAAGAGGAAGTAAACAGGTAGCTCTCCAGGTCATCTATTGGCAATGACTGGAGACTAGGAGAAGCTCTCAGACTCCTGAGAGCTTCTCCTAGCCTCCAGAGAAAGAGAGAAAATTGAGACTAACAGAGAATATCAAAGAGATCCTTGAGGAAAGGACAAGATATAGATCGTTTCTTTTGTGCAGGAAACTGGGATCAACAGTGTCATCACACCTGGGACTACGCCGAAGAACGGGTACGCCGATTCCTACGAACTTTCTTATTTATTTCTACATATATCTTTCTCAATCTAATTAAACACTAAATACAAACAAGTCCTTAGAATTAATCATCTATTTTTGTCACTGTCCTGAAGACATCAATTGATATTAATGGTCGTGAACCTAATATTGGTTTTGGTTCCCCATTTTGTTTAATCAAGTTTTGTTGTTACAAAAAATATGTACGAATTCCTTAAATCTGTGACCAAAAAAAGAGTTGGAATCCAAAGAACCACATTCATCACAAAATATAGATATTGTTTCTTGAATATATATATATATATATATATATATTCAAGAAACAATATATATATAGATAACTGTTAAATGATGAAAGACATATACATAAAAAATGGTCTTAAACCCTTTTCATATTTTTAAATTCTAAATACAAAATTCTGATAAACAATTGATAATACTTGATGCCAACTGGAATCAAGTACCAATAATACCAATTGTTCATCAGAATTTTGTTATCATAATTTTTTGTATCACTTGATTGTTTGAAATCATATTAACAGTTGATAACAATGTCTTTACATATCTTGTCATTTGAAACTGTCCAAAGACCACTTCAGAATGATTTCATTTTAAAATGACAAAATGACATTTTTAGTAGGGAAATCAAGGTTAATAACAAACATCATAGACAGAAAATGAAGAATCTGTGCAAAAAAATAAAAAAAATAAGTTTAAAGAAAAAATAATTAAGACAAAATATTTTATCTTATGTGCAATAATAATCATGCATTATTCATAGAAATGTTGTAACTTATCAAGGTCATCTGTTATTTTCAGTATATATGAGAAGTGGATGAAAAGTTTCTGACCTAGAGATATGAGTGAAATGATAACTAAAATAGAAAGGAGTGATATGAGAGAAATAAAACTTATGTAATCTATAAATGGACTTCTTATAGTGCATCTCTCAAATTTTCACCAGCTTATTAATGGACACTGTTAGCAGAGGATACTAGCAAGTAAGATAAAGATTTTGTATAATGAGGAATATCTGGTATAATGTGCAATCATCTGCAAAAAAAATGTCAGTGAAAGGCATTAATGCTGACATGCAGGTGACATTGCAAGAGTCTACCCCACTGTACACACAGATGAAATCTTGGGTAGAAAATTAAAAACAGGTCATCAACCATGTAAACAAAGTCACATTCTGGACTATCAAGAATGGAAAGTGTTGATGTGAATGTCATGAAAATCCATGTTATCATCCTACAAGATCATTGTGTAACATTATGGTTTATCACAGACCAAGTGGAGATACTGCATAAATGTGTGAAGTCTGCTTTCTATGACAAAAGTGTAGCATGCTGGGTCCTTTACAGACTGAAAATGAGATTATACCAACACTTAATAAGTGCTGGCACAATCTCATTTTCAGCATCTGAAAGTCAACAAGAAAGACTTTCTGAAATTTTTTTCACCCAGGATAAAACCTGGTTGCATCATTTTGACCCAAAACAAAAGTCCATTTAAAGCAGTGGAAGCACTATGATTCCCTATCATAAAAGAAATCCCTAACCTAGCTATCAGTTGACAAAGTTGGCTTGATTTTTGAGACACAAGAGTGCTACTCCTTGATTTTTTTGGCAACTGACCACAACTACTATGCAGCATTGTTGCAACAATCATACAATGTAATCAAACAGAAACATGTAACAATATGGAAGAGAGGAGTCATCTTTCATAAAAAATGCATCTAGCCATAAGGTATACTATACCCTCCAGACAATTGACAAATGTACCTTTGAAACATTAGAACATCTGTCATATTCCCCATATTTGACACTATTTGACTTCCATCTTTTTCCAGCAATGAAAAGGAATCTGAAAGGATAACATTTCCAAATGATGATGCTGTGCAAGTGTAATATAGTCGGGTACGGAGGAATAAAGACACCATATGCAATCTTGTAAGATTCCAGATTCCTTACACATAGATGAGTGAAGCTAGCATTCCATCAGATCTTACAATGCTCAATGAGCAACAAATCTGAACATTGGACAAACCAGCAAAGTGTGGCAGTATGACAAAGACATTCCTGGAAAATCCTAGCTGTGTGGGCCTACCATTATCTTGCTGAAAATGATTGTTTGCACAGGGTTTCTCAAATGTACTGCTATGCCATGGATGTTCCTCACTCTATTTCTAGGGATGACTGATTATAATGGCTGATTGCTTCCCCAGACTAGCACACCAGCAATGAGGACAGTGTTGCTCAGCAGACTGGAAGGAGTATTCACTAGTAGTCCTCCACACTCTAACACAGTGGTTGTCTGTTTTCAAACAGAATCAAGATTTGTGACTAAAAACAATATTCTGCCAGCTGTAGCAGTCCATGCTTCTCTAATATGGCATCACTATAAATGAAGCCAATAATGTTGGAGTGCTAATAGCAGAATGCATAATGGTTACTGATTACAGTGCAATTGCAAAATTGCCGCTGCTAATGATGCAAGATGAGACATGGACCCATAACTAGGCTTCCATTTGATTCTCAATGTCACACAAAAACATCACTGCAGTTGTTCATACTTGCTGGTCTATCTAGGACATCCATAGCATATCTGCCATGTATGAGATATAATCAAAAAGTTCTGAGACTAGATAGATGTATTAAAAGAAAACAATATACTTTATTTAACTTTGACAGTCATCACCTTTAAAATACCCCCTTCTGCATCAATGCACTGATTCCACCATATCTGCCAAGCTCCCAGGAAGTCCCATTCTTAGAGGGTGTCAAATGCCATCTGCAGTTTGAGCTAGATTTCCTCTACCATGTCAAAATGGAAGTCCTTCAACTTGAATTTCATCTTTTGGAACAAGAAGAAATCATAGTAGAGCCAGAGTCAGATCCAGTCAGTATGGAGGATGCGGAGCAAAAATGGTCTTGGTGTACACTGAAAACATGCAAATGTTTTGTCATTTGCAAGTTTTCAGTTCAATGTGAGTGAAACCATTGTTGTGGTAGAGCACACAATTGTTGTTGTGCCACAGTTGAGGTCTTTGGCATCAAATGTCCTCTCTCAGACACCTTAGAACAGTGATTATCAACCAGTGTGCCACAAGAGGATCATAGGTATGCTGTAAAAACTTTTGTAGGTTATTAAATAAATTAAACAACTTCTTAGATAATTATGAAATGCATATACTTTACACTCGAGAACCTTAAAAGTCCAGTAATAACACTTTAATGGAAAACTAACGTTTTCGACCGTACCTCGGTCTTCCTCAGGTTTTTAAAACCAGTAATATTCAAACTTGGAATGCAAAGAACAATATTTACAAATTATTTTTAAAAAATCTATGGAACATATGGAAGAACATGTTCAAAAATTATTTTAAAATCTATGGAATAATCTAAGCACGTGTATAAACCTTTTATCCATGCATGTTACCATGGCAATAGAACTATATCAACACCATAAACAGTGAATAATACGATGTAAATAAAGATACAGAAAAAGATTGCTAAATAAATTAGTTTTGAAAGAAGCCCAAAGAACAATAAGTGTGCACATCAAAATTAAAACCTCTTTAAATTGATTATACAAGTTTTTTATTATAAATAAATGTATACATAATGTAGTAAAAAATATATATTCATAAGCAAAATTATATGTGCTTAACACTGGTTTATTTCATTTAAAATGAAATTTTCTTTAAATCAAAAATGTATCTATTATTGTGCATATTTAGCTCAAATTATTTTAACTTAAGAAATAGTGAGAATCGGGCAGGTTTATAAAGGCAATTATCGTTCCACTTTTAAATGCAAATTAAGACTTAATGTTAATTGCTTTTCTTATGTAACTATTAACTATTATTGAAAATTATTAACTATTGTTGAAATCTGCTGCTGTTTTATTTAATTCACAAAAATAAGAGACAAAACAAATTAGGTTAAGTGGCAAGTAAAAAGGATGACAGAATGTTTACAAACACAACTTTAAATCATTTGATTTATTCTGCAGAAATTTAATTATAGGTTCAAATGAGCCATGAGATAAAAAAAGGTTGAAAACCTCTGCCTTAGAACATTGCATTCATTGTCTGGCCTACAGAGAAAAATTCTCAATGTACAATCCCTCAAATGTTGAAGAAAATAATGAGCATGCTCTTGTTGTGTTTTGGACTTGTCTTGCCTTCTTTGGTCTTGGTGACTGCAGGTTCTTCCACTGTGAAGACTTGTGGCTGTATGCCTTATTTTGTTTTAACTCCTCCTTTGGACTTCTATGCCTATTTCCTCCTGGGTTGGGTCCCCTTCCTAAAAGAAATGGTTTAACTGGTGGCTGAATATGGCTGGAGGAAAAAAGTGGAGACTCACAGTTATCTTCTACAGAAGGGAACACAGACTGGACAGAAGGACTGTTTTGGTCTGTCTCTCGTAGCGAGATCCAGGAAAGTATTAGAGAAAAGGAAAAGATAATGGAGTCCTGGAGAATGAAACAAAAATAAAAAAGGTTAAAACTTCTTTACACCTGATTAATTCTAGTTATGGGTGAATCTCTTGTAGTGAACTGAATTTTGAGAGAGAACAGAGTTGATCTTCTTAATTAGGGGATATCAGTGGTGCATGTGGCCCTCTGTTCAAGGTTAACTGTAACAACTTCTGTAGTAAGACTGTTAGCCTTATGAAAGGAAATTCATCAGTAACTTAATTGTGAAAGTTTTAGTTTAAAATATTTTTGTATTTTCATCTTAAGTGTAATAATAATTAATACTAGAATAATGTCAAAAACTTGCATAACACAATCTCCAACCAATGTAGTTTGTTGCCACTTTGCATGCTGACTCATGAACACCATGTCCCTCTCTTGCTGCATGCTGATAACTGTGCAGTGCCCCCTTATGTTGCTACAGGCTCAGTCTTTAAACTTTTTGATCACATCAGGTTTATGTGGCCTGTTATATCCACTTACCCAATACCTCACAGTCAAGTCAGAAGAGCCTATATGGTGGACAATTTGATTATCCTGCTACAATCACCCTGACGTGCACCTTTTTCAAACTCGGTGCATAATGTTTTCGAATACATTGTATCAAATGTCAGGCAGGCCTCGTGATAATTAGGAAAGGGTTTTGTTGACCGATGAGGGCAAACATCCAGAAAAAAATATACGTGCAAAGTAGAAGATAGAAAAATGAATTTATTTCTTAAGATAATAAAGTACAGGTGCAAAGGAATTCCAGCTCTAGAGATTGTCAAATGACAGTCACCCAAAATCTGATTGTTGGTAGAACAATTTACAAAATTATTATGATTAGTATAAAAGAAACCAACAATAATAATTACAACAATATTTTCCTTAACACATTCTTAATACTAATTTATACCTAGAAGAAAATAAAAAGCAGGGGCGGGACGTAGTAAAGATGACAGATAGGATAGGAAAGAATTACTCGAGTAGTGCAAACATTGTTCAGTTACGGTAAGGTGCCATGTGGAAGCCTCTTAAACACAAAATTCTCGCTTCTCCCTTCTGTCTTCCTTTTTCTCGGTCCCAAGGGTTTTGTATATTTGATCCCAATAGCCGATTGCACATTCTAACTAGTCAAGCCGAAACACCAACTCTAACATACTAACTTCGGACCAGAGATTTTAAAGTTTTCGCTTGGAGTTCTGACGTCACCCATCTACTTAGGCACTGGACACTGTAATGTCTCTCCTTTCGTAGTCCTCTCTCTTCGAGCACCAGCTCAAAAGGTAACCTTCCTTCTCTTCCTTCGCCCCAAGTAACCTCACATATGATGTTGATAAATTCTAAGAAGTGGCCCTCACCTCCAAGAAAGAATTACAAAGATTAGACAGTTCTAGAAGGTAGAAAGAACAAAGAACAGGGAAAATTGTCAGAAAGACAAAAGCAGACATTATGGCATACAGTCACACCTAGCATTCAAAAACTTCCAAACAGCAAGTATACTGAAAATACTGAACACAGTGAACCTTTATTATGGAAACTTTTTTATAGGATACTAGTGTAGTGATTTTAAGGCACTGGTGACATTACCTGGTATGCTATCAGACCACAGCTGTAATCATTTATATATCTTTCTGAGACATAGCTAAATGCCAAGTTTTGCAGTAATTGTACAGATATTTCATTCTCTCTGTGTATTTTATTAATTGGTTATATTGATTAACAAATTCTGTTTAATTATTTAAAATCTTTGAACGAATTCCTTTTTTCAAAATTATTTTCAAACTTTGCAAGATATTTCTTTCATCTTCTGTTTTCAGAGAATTCTTAATATAATACAATACAAAGGTTTGTTTGAAACAAATTTTCATACAAAAGGTCACCTCTTGGCAGTTTGCCATTTTTTACCTAATATATAATATATCTTGAATAATAATTTGCCATTAATATAATATATTTTGAATCTAAGGATATTGTAAAGATCATATAAATGTTAGTTACTTTCAAAGCTTTATGTTTGAATATCTGAAAATTCTCATGTTGTTTCCTTTACATGGAATTGGATTCTTCAAGATATTACCTAAAATCAGCAATTGTGATTTTAATCTTTAAATTAAATTCATACATAAATTTGAAAACCATACTGATTTAGTATTAAAACTTTGGTGTTTAGTCAAGTTCAATTCTTTTTATCATTACATAACAAGAAAGATGCAGAACAAAATTTGTTTTTTCTTGGCCTTACCCAAAAGAACTTGTTCTTGTTATCCATTCCAGTACTAAAAGAACTTGTCACTTGTATCTATAATGTAAAAGAATCAAAGAAATTATTGTTGTATTATATATTTTGTAGTTTCTGTAACAAGAAATTACATTAAAGTCAGGAGTTTTATACAGATTTTGTTTAAAAATAAACTGTTTAGAAGATCATTGTTAAATTTTAAAATTAGGAAATAAAGGAAATTAATATAAAAATAATAAATATTTTTTAAAAAAACAAACATCAATGATGGTATTATCTTTGGATCAACACATCATCTTTGTTCAATAATGTGAATGTTAAATATTTAGCAAGTAAGTTTGTTAGTAAGAAACTTGTTAATATAATTTCAATTTACTAAGGCTGTGCTCAGAAAGTTTTTCTTACGTTACGTTAAATCTGGCCAATCAAAGAAATTATTTGTAATGTCTTAAATAGTTATTTTTCTGATTATCCAGATATGATGTAATATAACATAAGAAGAGACTCTCTAAATGCCATCTAGAAAGGCTATTTTATTAATAGACAATACCCTATTACATCCTAGGTTTTTGAAAAATGATGACATCAGTGCAGTGTTTTTTCTCCCTGTTACTAGCTTAGTACAGCCAATGGACCAAAAATGTTCTGGAATATATGTAATAAAATTTTTGCTACTTTGTAATGCAATTTATTTTGCATGAAAGCTATGATTTATAAAGTTTGGCATTCTGCTTAAAATCCATAAATACGAAACACATTTACTGGGCAGCTCGGGTGTAGGAGAAAGCAAACACACAGATCCTCTAACAACTACAAAATAAATTGTTTGATAGAATTTCAAATGTCGACAAAGATATCAACGAGTCAAGTGACAATTTGCCGAAAATGTTCCAGGATGTGAAAGAATAGACAAAGTAGTAAGTATTGAGGCTGTGGAACAAGACCTTCGGAAGAAATTTACTTGGAGTTTGTGAAATCTAAATTTAATTCTCACACTAGCATTAAGTGATTTATTATAACATTACTGTAATGTTATAATAATCAATTGTAATGTTAAGCTTTAATGATAACATTTTCACTCTTTACAAGATTATCAGTTCATATGGTTGTCACATTTTGTTAAAAATCTTTCTGGCTATGATTATCATCATTACTAACATTATTTAATGACAGATCCTTATTTACATAAAGAATTTGTTTATTTGTAGAAATTTATATAGATTTATGCAATTTCAACAAATAAAAAATAAAAAAGTGACACATGCATCAAAATGTACAGAATCACAGAAAACTAAATGCACTTCTAAATCTATTTACTAAATATTAAACTGGTCAATATGTTCATTGTTTTCGTAAAGCAAAAAATGACACAAATTTACGTATGAAAACAAGTTTTATCAATAATATAAATGCTATCATCTTGTATAATTGTGTAACCATCTTTCAGGTAACTTCATAATTCCTTACATAAATTTATTTGATTTTTCCACAAAAGGTCCTTATGAATTTTTCATAGCCTCTAAATTCTCAAATTTTATTTCAAACTATTGTGAACCAACTGGAACAAATAAAAGGTCTGGTGAATATAAAGAGTGGGGTAGCACATCTCAGCCAAGTTCAATCGTCTGTTTAGTGACTAGATATCTACGATCTCATATTATCACGATGGACATTCTTTCTCGTTGTCAATACCGACCGCTTTTCTTCGATGACTGCCTTCGGATCATCCAACTAGAAACGATACTTCTCCACAACGACGAGGTTGCTCCTCATTATTACGATTCGATTGCTGACCAATAGGTAGACATGGCCGATCACTGCCCACTAATTCATCAGATACGAAACAATTTTCTTTGGATTTGGTTCAGTTTTTGATTGTATGAAAAGCGGTGACTTATCTGTAGGTTTGCCATTAATCCAAGATTAGGCTGGACATCTAAGATTTTATCCAGGGTTCCAAGATCATCTTTGGTAAAGCCCTTCTTCAGAAGTGTAATTATATGCTTTAGGTATTGGACAAATATCTATGTAGAATATGCAACGAAAAGCAATCGAATTTCATAAAATTTTATGCACTCTTGTGAGATGTTAAGGGTAGAATTTGCATACCTTCTTTATTGTATATGAAAGATTTTTTCTTTTAACAAATGCTAAAAGTTGAGAATTCAAAATAATATATATAGACACAGATTCAGCCTCAAAATCTAGTAAAATCTCGTGGAATTTTATCCTAAATCTGCAAATCGGCGTTTGCTCTTCAGCACAAAAACTAAAAAACGACACGCCAGATCCGGAATCACTTCAATTTTGACGGGTTTACAACATTCTAACAAGAGCGTCTTCCCGTTCCAGATTTCCTCGGCATCAAACAGTTTGATTCGAGAAATGACGGGGCGACGCCGGCAAAAAAGGTAACCGTTTGGAAGAATCTCCAAGAGCGGAAATAGATCGTTCCTTCCAGAGATCCCCCGGCGACGGCACGAAGAGATCGTCCCAACACCGATTCCACAAAAGGAAGGACGTCGAAGCGGTCGCATTTTCGTCGGCAAAGTCCCGGGCATCCGACCGCGGAGGTTCCGGAAGAGCAAAAGGATCTCAAAGCGTGAGCAAGCGCCGCGGGTCGAAAAGCCGCAAGAAGCGCGTCCGGCGGCACCGATCTCCGTCCGAAAGTCTTCGAGCAGATCCCAAAAAACATTCCACGACCGTCGACGGTCCAATCCAGATTTCACTGCCGGGAAATCGGGTCGATCCTCCCTCGTTCGCTACTTGTTATTGTTGTTTTCCAACAGTTACGTCGGGTCGACACTTCGGGACGGCGCGACGCCGAACGTCAACGATCGAGGTTCGATAAGGAGTACGAGTAATAGTACAACACCCACCGATCCGGAGGACCGGCGCCCCTCGGACGTCCGTCGACGTCATCCGGAGAGGGGGAAAATCCCGGCAGCATGACGTCACGCTTCTCCACGTGCGGTCGTCCGACTCGGACCGGCGGGAAGCGTACCGGAAGAGAAGAGGATCGGACTCGAAGCGATCGAAGTCTCCGAGCTACGTTTCGGCGACGGAAGTTGGGAACGACGCGAGGACGTTGGCGGGAAACGGAAAACGCGATATAGCGGCGCATCCGGAACGGAAAGAGCTTTCCCGTAAAGTTTCCGAGCACAAGGAGAAGCGAAAGACTCACCTGCGCGGGAGACGAAAGTCGCATCCGTAGACGACGCCACCGAGAGCATCCGGAGCGACACCGACTAGTCGGCGCCTACCGATCTTCTTCCGCGCGCGGCTTTCTCGTGACGTCACCTTCGGCGCCGGCGCAGCCCGTAGTCGCGGAGGGGAAAAGCCCGGGAGATCCGCCCGGATCGATGGCGGCGCCCTTCGAGCCGAGGCGACGGCGGGCGTCCTCCCCGCCGTTCCACCCCGGCGCAGGCGCGCCGAATCTTTCCGCGGTAAAGATACCGGGAACCGTCGACCAATGGCTAACCGTCTTACGAAGAAGCTCTTTTATTGGACGACCGACGGATTAAAAACCGATTTGTCTTACGAAATTTTATATATTTTTTCATTTTCCGATTAACGTGGACGGAAGACAGTCTGTAATTTAAAGCGACAACAAAGCCTAACTGGGGTTTACAGTAACCACTAGTCTAATCTGGAATTTACGCGATTTCGAGGGAAACCAGAGGGAACCGCAGTCGCTGCAATTATTCGTATTCGAAATTGATAACAAACGGAATGGTGGATATTTTGGCCGAAGTTTAGTAATTAAGGAAGAAACGCACAATCGTTTAGTTATAAATAATGACCGACGGCGACTTTTACGTTTCCACGCGTATTATGTTATTCTACGTCTCCGCCAACGCCGCCTTATCCTTGCGTCAGAATTACTTCCGTCGCACGACTAATATCGCCATCTGTCGGATTCGAAATGATATAAAAACAAATGACGCGACCGGTTCGATTATCGGAACGCCCGTTCCGGCACCACCTGGTGAGGCGAAAGTGAAAAATCGATTACCGGCTATTCTCTAGTACATGTCGATACGAATCTATGTAAGTATAAATTGGGGAATATTCCGACACGCCACGGCCGTGTCGAGTGTGTGGTGTAGAAAGACGGAAGGCGGGATCTATCGCCGACTTTATTATTATTATTTTACCGTCGTGGTGCAAAATTTACGTCAAATTACGCCGTAATAAGAATGATGCGATGCGACGGTTCTTGGACGAAAAAGAAAACTTCACTTTTTTCTCGTCTTTATTTCTTTATACAAAGATTCGATACGGTCTGTAAATTTTCCTGTCTAAATTGTTTAGCCGGAAGAAAGACAAAAGTATCTCGTAAACTCCGGAAGCTCTACAATCGATATTTTAATTTGTTTCCAGAATTTTTAGAGGAATTTAGACAGGGGATATATTTTCAGTCTGGGGGAAAAGGCCAGTTTTGTATTAATATTGACAATGAAGATTTGAAGAATTTTTGTGCAACTTTTTTTTTACGGAACAGTCGGAAGAAAGATTTTTTGAAATCGTACGTCTTTTCGTGTAATTAAATAATTAAAATAATTCTTTTCCAGCCAGTTCGAATCGCCTGTTTTCCGAGTAGGGGAAAAATTTGCCTTCTTCAACCTGGATCGCGCTCGAACTAAAAGTCAACCAATTAGCGATAATTTTATTCCAGTTAAGGCAATAAGTAAATGCTCATTGGTTAACTTTTGCCGCCGCTCTCGACCCACGGCTTTGTATGAAAACACTAGTTTCGAGTGTCATCTCGACACAATTTTTCGGAGAAGAGGTGGTGACGAGTTCCCTCGGAGGCTTTTGATGATTTCCGTATCGTCGCTCGTCTTCTTATAAGGAAGACGGGCGAAGATAATACAGAGGTTGCGGCCGGCGTTTTCAACGCGAAAACGTGTACGTCGGACGTTCGGCGCCGCTTTCCTATAAGCCTAGAAGTTTGACAATGGTGTTTAGATACTCGGTGGAATCGCGCTCGACATTCCAAGTACCATTGCCAAACTTCTAGGCCTTTAGGAAAGCGGCGCCGAACGTCCGACGTACACGTTTTCGCGTTGAAAACGCCGGCCGCAACCTCTCTATTAGTCGTACTCTTCGTCGTAAGTACATTCGATTAAGTTGTGAACAATTAGGTAAAATATTTTTACTATCGAAAGTGTAAATATTGTTAAAGGAATAATTCCGTAATGCGCTTTCTTCGGGAGTGCAGAAAATTCAAAATTACCTTAATACTTTTTAAAACTCTTTCTTTCCTGTGGGCGGTAAGCGACTGCCCATAAATGACGTCTACACTGGAAGCGAGACAGAGGTTACGACAAATCGGACAAGAGGAGCGGTGGCGTAACATGGGTGTCAACCGCCCGGGGCGGAGAAAAATTTCGTCCCCCTTATTTAGGTATCTCAATTTAAAAGACTAAAATTCAGTTTCGTCACAGAATAAGTAATGAAAAATTCCTTGCTAGTGTTGCCACTTTTTTAAAATCGCCGACCGGAACAGCGGGTGAGGTTTGTTCGAACAGAAGTTCCTGACGCACGAGTATGTCATTTTGCACTGCGAAGAATAATTTGTAGTGCATGCTGGTTCTAAATCAGTTACAGTTAGCGACTAGGGAGACTCGGATAAGAGTAACGCGAGTGACCTAGCTCTATTGGATATTCCGTGCTCATTTCAATCGGTCCGAATCATAGGTGCATGAAAATATGAAATAAAATGGTTCAAATTCTTACAAGATATTATTATTATTTATTGTCAAATTTTGCCGCCCCCTAAAACGTAATTTTTCCGCTCCTAAAAAGTGCCGCCCGGGGCGGGCCGCCCCTGCTGCCCCCACTACGCTACGCTACTGTTTATAGACATCCGGAGGGCCCTTCTTAGTTAACGGGTTACGGGTTCGGCCAGGCCAGCAACGGAGAGGCCGAGTCCGTTCGGCCCGTTATAGTAACACGAGTGAGTTCAATGACGTCAGTTCGAGTACAACGCGAAAAACTCGAGACTAAGGTCTCGGGCGTGTCCGTCTTCCGAAAAATTTCCGAAGTTTGTCGACCCGTCCGGAGACACCAGAAACTAAATTCGTACGCATCCGTGAAATTCCGGTAATTCGAAAACCGTCAACAGTTAAGAACTCTTACAGCCGATTGCAGAGACAACGTTTAGAGATCGACGGCGGTTTACGGATCGGGTAGACCGCTGTTCAGAAAAATTTCATTGCAGAAACAACGTTTCTCGCCCGCCACAATGTAAACAGCGATTAGAAACAAGTTATTCGACCTGTTTTCTAGACTCCTTCGACAGCGCGTTTAGAGGGCTTTTCGATTCGAGCGGTAGCTTTGTTCGTGGAAAAGTTTGGATAAAAACAGGTATCGTTCCTTTAATAAATGTTGTAAACGGTACGAATCGACAAAATTATTCATTAATTAATTGCTCGGAGCAAAAACAACAAAATTAAATACTTTAAATTTGTTTTAAATGTTCCAATTTCGATATTCAAATGGGTGAAGACTTCAATTAATTTAAATCAGATGCATTTATTTACAATTCGAGTATCGTGTCGGTTATAAAACGTTAATGCATTTCGGAGTCATCGTACTGTTAAACAAACGAGACAATTTTAATAATTACAGAAATCTGTTTATAGATATTAAAAAATGTAATATAGATAATAAAATATTTAAAGTTATTCATTTCGATAGTTACGAAGGGCGACAGTAATAAGACGAATTTCGGTATAAATTTTCTAAATATGGATTTGTTCCTATTTTAAACCGTATCGGCGACGAAATTAAATATCGAAACGGAAAAGGATTGTCATTAATTGCCGAAGAATGGTTTTGACGGCCTTAAGATTTTATTTCTGGAAGCTTTCGGAATATAGCTGGCCACCATTTCTAACGTCACAAACGGATAACCCGATTGGCCGAACGACTCCTAAAACGGGGGAGTAATAGCGAAGTAAGTAAGAGCCAATGTTTTGCCAAAGTTCGTTTAGAGAAGGGTCAGAAATAGACGATCGTCGTCTTTGCAACGCATTTTAAACCACGGTTCGGCCAGCCAACGTCTATAGGCCGTTCTGTTGATAAACGTCGTTTAACGTAAACTCTGTCTCTGCAATCGGCTGTTAAGGTTTATAGTTTAAACAAATGTTCTGAATCACTTCCGAGATATCTGTGAATTAAGTAGCCGAACACGTCTACAGATCGGGTGACCATTTCCGAAATTCGGTAAACCGGAAGTCGCGCGATTCAATAGCCGCGCTGCATAAGTCACGTGACAAATAGCTTTATCCCGATTTTCACTCAACGGGGCGAATACAAGAACATAGAGGCGCGAATGTATTAGGGAAACCAGGTTCACTCGGCAGAGTCGATAATAATAATATAATTGTAACACTTAAACTTGTTTACGTATCCCGAAGAGTATTCTATACGTACTGTACAGTACACGCAGGAAAAAAGAAACTACTGCGAAGCTGAAAAATCCTCACATTTATACCGTTCCGCAGAAGACAATATTCGGGACCCGATCTGGGCCGTTAAGCCACGCTCTCCGCATCGGGTGTGCAATTTCTTGCAATGTACAGTACTGTACGGGCCAGTGCCGTTACTAGCCATTCCTGTGCCCTGCGCAAGAATTTACAATTAGACCCTTACTTAATTAGTTTTGGGAAAATAATAAAACAATACATGCATTTTGCGCTCCCCTTCCAAGTGGATCCCCAGCGGGTGCACCTGTTGCACCTGCCTAGTTACGTCACTGGTACGGGCTTTCGCCCATCTTACCGCGCTTTCCTCCGCTAATTCCGTCATTTTTCCCATTTTCTCTAAATCTCGTGCACGGTCATCTTCGTCTGACATATAAGACTTCTCGAATTTTCGTTTTTCGTCCAGCCTTTTCTCCTCGCTGGCCTCCTCTTCTCTCCGTAATTCCTTAATTAAACGGCCAAACTGGGTTTCATCTCACCTTAATGGCAATCTTTTCGTCGATAAGATTCTCCGACACGTACAGAAACCCTCTTTACATTCCCGTACAGGCCTATAGCGGAAGACCGTTCCCCACTTTTCTCCGCTGGTAATCGTCTTTCCGCCATTTTTGTCACGAGTTTATCGAATGGAGAAGTAAACTTGTCGACGGGACGAAGATAAACGAATCGCATTTCGCTTATCGTCGTTGATTGTCAATATGCAGTAATTGGCCTAGCTGTTAAGCAAAAATATTTTCGTCTCGATAACGGACGCTCTTTAATCTTTCGAACTCGAACTCCAGCGTTTGACTGGAAGCGATTTTGTGTGTCGTACCCGACTTCCGGAAGAGCGTGGTTCTATAAAACGGTAGAATGACATTTAAAAAGTTTGACGGTATTCTACAGTTGCATTTTCGTACGATATCGCGAACTCGAGCTGCCGGCGCCATCCGACAATCAAATTGCGGTTTACAACCCCAAACGAGAAATCATCCGCTATCGTATTTCTGCGTCAAGCGTTGGCGGTAAATACGGGGAAACGGAATTGAAGTCTGTCCGAAGCGTTTTCCGTAGACGAAAGCGGAATAAATCGACTGCCGCCTATTAACTAATCTACAGACGAGAAAAGAGCTTTCGATAGAAAACATACATTTATTTACTGATTTACAAATCGACGGATAAACTTCAGAGGGGGCTTAATTACGAGCATTTTCCAGCCGACGGAAATCGGGGTCGGAGAAGAAAATGCGGAGCGATCAGCATTCGACGTATCTGTTTTCTCTCAGCCATTCCTTGGTCACACGAACGGACTCTTCCAGTTCTCGTATCACCGGACCTTCGTGACACGACGTGACTCGAGCGCTGACTAGATGACACAGCTCCAGCATATTCACGGCCCTAAACCGTAGAAAAATCGATTAGTCTACGCAAACGCCGATCCGCCTCCGAAGAAATTCTATTTCTAAGCGGGTCGCTTGTCCGTCTTTCCGATAGTTTCGGAGAGCGAAATTTCAACCCCTGGCTACGGAAGGTGACTAGAGTTGGGCATACTCACTGGCAGATGGGCTCCCTCAACTCCTGGGGGTCGGAGATGTGGGCCAGAGATCCGACTTTTTCCACGACTAAAGCTTGACACTCCCGCGAGAAGACGTCGTACTGGTCTTTCTTGCAGGCGGAAGAAACCAGGCCTGCAAAGAAAAGAGAGTTTGTTAGTGCGCCTTCGGAAAGCCACCCTCCGTCTTCCGTTCGACTCACCGCAGAGGACGAAGAAGACGGCTAGCGAAGCGATATATTTCATCTCGACGAGAAAGGGCAGAGGAAGAAACCTGCGAAATCTCCACTTTATATAAGCTTATCGCTCCGGATCCGATAAAGGCACCAGATAACGCCCCCTATCTCTTTTAGTCTTCGTCTTCGTCGGTCGTCGGATGGAGCGCCAACGGTAAACCGTTGGCGCTCCATCCGACGACCGACCTTTTTGTGTTTGTCCGCCGCCCAATTCGGTCCTTTTTCCATTCCACGCTAGTCGGAAAATATAGCGTCGGGTCATGGCTTTCGCCGTCGGGAAATCCACCACGGTGGGCGTTTCGGAAGTGGCGGTCGACTATCTTATCTTTATCGATATCGTCACCTACGGCACCCTTATCTCGTCACATACGACAGAAACAGAATATTTTCATTTCGTCCTAACCAGTCGGCGATAGGCCGGATGGCCGAGCGGTCAAGGTGGCAGCCCACCGCTCTGGGGACCCGGGCTCGAATCCGACGGGTCGAAAAATCCCCAGGAATTTTTCGGGGGTGGTCCGTTCGGATATGTCGGGCCCCGTCCCTCACCACCCGGCAGCCGCATTGTGGGGCTGGCCGAACCCATAATGGGCTCGCAAAAAGAGACCCTCTTAGTGCTCACAGGGCGGAAAGAGTTAAAAAAGAAATAATAAAAAAAAACAGTCGGCGATGACGTTTTACCCTATTACGCGAGTCTCTTTTAGTGTGTTTATACGAATAAAATCGCAATTTTTTCGCCGTGTTATACGAATCCGTATTATACGAACCCGTGTTATAGGGGTCTACTGTACTTCTCTAAACTGATTGATTTTCCTTCGGCCGTCTATATCGCGTGTTTAGGCATCCATTATTATAATCGGGATACTTCTTGTCGTAGATACACGAATACTTTCGGTTGTTTTCGATAAATCTTTCCGGATCTATTCTAGAGTAGCCACGAGGAAACGTACACAAAAGCTCGTTTTCCGCCATTTTCGCACCGCGTGGCGATTGGTGGACGGTACCGTTTCACGGCCGTATTCGCGTGGAAAGTTCAACACTGCTCAACTGGCTTTTACGCCGATTTTACCACCCGCTCGGGCGTAAAATATGGTGGTCACGTGATTACAAGCTTTTACGGCGAGGGGTTTTACGCCCGTTTTTACGCTAGCGTTGTCTCGGCCTCGGACAACCGGGAAAAATGGTGGGCGAAGTTAAAATTACGATGGCAACAATTGTGGCAAACGAACCGGTCGAAAAGAACGAAGTAACCAATAAATTATTGAAATGGAAGCTGCGTCGGATCCTGATAAAATTAACGAAGCAATTACTGTAATCAACGAAATGGATCGCTATCTTCCGTTAAAACGTATTCGGAATCCGTTATACCGACGTTTGATAATTTTACATTTCCAAGTCATTTTAGAATGAGAGAATAACTGTAATTGTCATGATAAAATACGTTTAGTCCAATCAGAGTCGATAAGTATACTGGTCCTCGCGTGCCCTCTGCAGTAGAGTTAATGTCTCGGGTCGCCGTTAGGATCGCTGTTAGGGGAGAAGAGGTTTGGCTATCTATTTGGCTAGTAAATAATTTTCCCGTTTTCAGGCATTTTTGTAACTTTTCCCTATTGTTCTGTCAAAAAAATCTTATTCGTAATTACATTTTTAAATTTTACATCACGTATAAAGAAAAGAAAAAGCATATTTGGTTTATTATAAAAAATAATACAATGGTTATATGACATGAAGCGTTGCTACACAATACAAATACAAAAGTTTATATAACACAAATCATTGTTACACACACAGGTAATGACAGGAGAGAAATTNTTTACATCACGTATAAAGAAAAGAAAAAGCATATTTGGTTTATTATAAAAAATAATAATAATTTTAAATTACAGATGAGGATGTGGATAAATCGAAAATAGTTATATTTTCGATTTAATTTATCCGGGTTTTAAGTAGAGGTGTGTTTAAAACTGTTAAAACTAATATCTCAAATACTTTAGTAGAAATAACAGAGACTTATCATCCGCTACCGGTAACGTAAAATGACCTTTCTATCGTCGGAATGCAATCTTCTATCATTTTAATGTTTCCAGTAGCATGGTGATAAGTCTCTGTTATCTTTACTATAGCATTTGAGATATTAGTTTCGACAATTTTCGAGACGAGAAGCTCTTTTATAATGTTAAAAACTTATATTGCTACATATTGCCAATGAAAGTTTTGTACATAATGTTCTTATACATCTGTTTAATAAATAGGTAAGGGTAAAATAAGTAAATAAATTTGCATTTTACTGTTTTGTTTTATTACGTATGTATGACAATATAATTAGGAAAACCATAGCTTATCCTCCGATACATTTAAATAGTCGTAGAAATTTAATTGAGATAAAGACAAACTGTTTTTTTAAATAATTTATCAACTTTAACACTACGTAAAGTGTGATATACAATTTTATTCGATTTAGTATAACGAAAAATAGTAATTGGAACGAAGTAGTTTTGTATTTTTGACACGAGAAATTACATTTCTTACGACACTCGCATTGACTCTACATAGTTTGGTAATTTATATAGACCTAATATCAAAAGTAGAATATGAATGAAGATTTATTAACGGCCTACTACACCTGTTCTTTATTTACATACGTGAGATTCTGAACACCCCCCTTTTATTAATTGGAAATTGATGTCAAATCCATAAATGTTAGAAATAATATTTCTGATTTTAATAGAAAGAATTTTAAGTTAAAAACGAAGAGAACTGGTAAAATTCACATCCTTCTCAACTGAAGTTCTACATCTTTTTCGTTTTCCCTTATCTTCACAAATTTTGAGTCACATACAGTCCAGTTACCCCTCTATAAACCCCCACTCTTCCTAAACACGTGGGAATAATACAATTTTCTGACTGGAGAAAAACATCAAAAAAAAAGGGGATTCTTGAGTATTATTCGGGGAGTACGCCACGAAATTCCATAGGAGAAGGACGTATTCCATATCCGCTCCCCACGGCCAAGCCCATAGCTAACTCCCGAAATTCAAAGTTTATTTTTAACTTTCAAAATTAAAGAAAATGTTTATTGAAGTGCCGCCCAAGAAGTAAATAAGTGACAAGAACGAAACCAAGAGAAGAAATAGTGAAATATCGAACATTCACATGATCTAAATACAGAAGAATATATATAACTAGCTGCAAGGACCCGCTTTGCTGGGCAAAAAGTAACGATAGTGAAGATTAACATAATTACATTATAGCCAATCTTACCCGTTTTCACAGAATGCAAGAATTAGGTCCCCCGTTTCCAGACTAATTACAGAATTTTTACGTCAGTCAAACGAACTATTTTCAATTTGATTAATTTTCTGGAACGTTTACAATCGTTCTATAACCGAACCAATTCGAATTCGAATTTAAAACGGTTTGAAAATTTTTAAAATCGAAATAGAAAATCTTCGAAGTCAACCATTTTAAGCCCCCATATCTTCCGCACCCTTATAGCTATCGAGACGCAACCACCATAGTGCACGAATGGAGACTCGGGGCTACTACCACATACAAACACCATTCATGTGCGATGTGTAGTTTTGGCTAAAAAATGAAATATGGGGACATTTATATCTATACTAATATTATAAAGAGGTAATGTTTGTATTTATGTATGTAAGTTTCTTTGCAGCAGGTAATCTCCGAAACTACTCATCCGATTTCAAAAATTCTTTCACCAGTATTTAGAATGGAACCTCAGGGTGGACATAGGCTGTATATTATTCCGTTAAACATTCATATAAATTAAAATATATAATCTAGGTTAAGGCTTTTATGTCCAACAGATGGCGCTACGAGTACGACGCCCTAAGTTTGCTTTTCTGCGAGGCATTACGCTTTTCTGTGAAAATAAACTAAAGCGGATCATCTTCTATCTATTTATATAAATAAAAATGTAATGTTCGTTTGTTCCTACCGATTCCTTTGAAATTTTGAC